TTTCAGGAAAAGAAAAAGAGTCCCGCCAGTAAACAAGATAGTTGATCAAGTTGAGTTCGGTCAGAGCGGAGTGATAGAAAAGTATTATTTTGTAGTCAAGTTTATTTATGTATTTTGAAGTATTGAACTTCTTCTAGACTAATATAAATCAATATTTTGAAAAGAAATGAATCACATGATTTGTGTATCCTTTATAGATCATGTTGAATATTGGATGATTTGTTGGTAGAACTGAAGATTGAAGTTAAACTAGATTAAATTGGGATCAATTATTCCCTCAATCTTGGGGAATTACATGAGCAATGATAGCTGATTCCAAGCAATAAATATTTATAGGAGGGTGACACATGCGGGCAAGCAGCACACATGGGCAAGCACCAAGCGAGCATGTGGAGATGAGCAAGTGAATGAAGATCAAGCATGCATTCTCTGCTGCATGCGAGAACCTGAGTGGAGCATGCGTGTAGGTCACGAGGAAGGGGAGGTGGATAGGGCTATGAACCACATTTGGATACCAAGCTAAGAGAAAAAGGAATTTTTGTGTACTATTTAGTAAAGAAACCCTTTATTTATAATAAGAGGCAATACCCGGAAGAACACCAAACTGAGCATGGTCCAATTACCATAAAACAGAAGCATTCCTAAACAAAGCTAGTGCTAACAGAGCCCACTCCACTTGAATAGGGAGACAAAACTCCCTTTGCCATATCATTCTTTCAATTGCCTAAGTAGAGTGTTGGCTCAAGAAAATAGCACGAATGCATGAATCCCACTTTGCAGTCATAGCATTTCATCTTACTTAAGTCAGATTGTAATTAACCAGATTTTTCTGAGGGTAGTGTCTGGGTTTAATTAGATCTGGGATCCTTACTTCCTATGAGTGCAAGCACTCATAATTAATTACCCCTCTTAATAGGTAAGAGAGAACTCTCGATTAAGGATGAATAAATTTTAGGTAATTTAGACTAAATTGTGGGGAAGATGGAGGTAAACCCGATCAATATCCCATGGTTCTGTCATCCCGGGTATACCATAGATTTCTGTCTACCAACACTAACAATCATTGATCGTAGTGTCCAGTGAATCTGATTAGCAGCCATGAGTTACCTCCTCATAGGGATCCCGAGTAGACTGAAGTGATTAGATGTGGGCTTTAATTTGATTAGATGTTTTGGGATTTACATCTATTAGAATACTCAGAGATTTATTTAGTTTGGGATTTATGACTTGATTTAGAAGTAACCCAGGAATTTGGTTTGGAGCGGGTCTTATGGCTTCTTTAGGAAGCAGCCCAGGTATCTAGATTTGGGTTGGGACTTACGGCTTTCGTATAAAGTAGCCCGGGGATTTGATTTGGAATGGGGCTTAATGCTCTATTTATGAGTTGTCCAAGGATAGGTCTTACAACTTAACTCTATAGCAAGGCTGCTAGAAAAATTTAATTGTTTGGATAGGTCTTATAACTTCCCTTACGAAGTAACCTGAAAAGCGGGTCTTACAACTTAATCCTTTTAGCCTATGATGCCCATAAAGTTTGATTCGAATGTTTGTTGGAAGATTCAGTGGTTTCCTTAGAAGTTGTTTGGTTATTTGTATGAGCGTTAGGGTTGTTGTACTTTATTTTAAAAGTATCCCTAACATATGGAACTTACTACTTCACTTAGAAGTGGCCCATTGATGGGTCTTACAACCTAACCCTATAAGCTAGGATGCCCGAGTGAGAGGTCTAGGATTGTATTATCACATAAACATTTCCCTCAGAGGTCGGACTTACGACTTCTACTAGAAGTAACCGATGTTTTAATTGGGGGTTAGGGGTAGGTCAATTTTACCTAAAACTTTTCCCTAAGGTCGGGCTTACTGTTTTCCTTTGAAAGTTGTCGGATAGTGGATCTTACAATCAAGTTCTTATAAACAAGGCTGCCCAGATGTTTTGAGTATGATTATGTGTTTGTATAGACAGTAGTTGCTTATATAATGTTTGGAGATTTGTTCTGTAGTTGTTTGAGTTGGTTTAAGTTTATGATTTTGACACTTCGGGGTTTTGACACTGGCGTCAGTCTTTTAGTTATTCTATGCTCGTAATTTTTTTCCTACTACAGTAGTCCACTACTCTATCTATTTTTTTGGCTCTGTTGCTCTGCTAACTTTTTCATACTTAGCTTTTCTTGCTTTTCAGTACTCAGTTCTACCTACAGTAGCTTAGATTTATCAGCATTCATTCAATTTATTTATGATGTACTGACTCTTCATTTGTTTGTTTGCAGGTGCTCGTAGTCAATAGTTATAGCAGCCAGGGCTTGCACTTGTAGAGGATAGAGCCCACATGTAGCTGCAGCCTGTAGGAGCTCATATAGGGGAGCTTTGGAGAGCATGCAAAGGAGTTCAGTTTGAGTTGGTAGAGTTGTTGTTTGGAGAGGTTGCACAATTTGTTTGAGAGTTTGAAGAGTAGTGGTGTATATGTCATTTAGTGAAAACTCCTCTTCCCCCCTCCCTTTTTATTGGATTTTTTTATTTTTATAATTGTTCATTTGATTAATTAAAAAAAAATACTTTCAGCTTTTAACTCAGATTTTAAATTGCTTTTATATTTAAATTATTTTAGGTTTTTAAAACTCTTGAATTTACAAAAAGCTCTTGTATTTTAAATACTCTCGGATTAAGAATTTTCATTTAAAAATGCTCTCAGATGTAAATTTAACCAATTAATTTTAATTAGTTAATTAATTTGAATAATCAATTAATGAGATAATTTGTTGCGAGTCTTGTTATTCCATTAACTGAAGGTAGAAAGATGGTGTTGTGAAAGTTAGAGATTTCTAACATTTCAAAAGGAATATCATTTAAAATATTACAGCAATTCAAAGTCTTCCACTTAATGTTACTTGTGTTAGAATTTTTAAAGATAGGTCTCATTTAGAGACACTCAAGACAGTCTCATTTAAAGACCTTCAAGGCATCCCAAAAATAGTCTTTGGGCTAAAACGATAGCCAACAAATTCTCACTTATGCTGAGTGGCATTTGGGAGAGTAATGAGTAGGGTAAAAATAAATAAGAGAAAATTCTTGCCCCTTCGTCTCATAGAAAAATTTTAAGGTAGGCTCTTAATAATAATTCAAGTGAGCCTAATTCAAAGGATGATTGCAAAGGTCTTTAAAAGAATGAAATATTTAGATTTAGAGGGACCAAAGGAGAATGAGTGTTTGTAGGTTCTCCACTCTCATGCATTTGACGATATAACAGACTTTAAAGATCTCAATTAGTCAATTATTTTGATTAATATTAATCAATTAATTCTTATTAAACATTAATTAACTAAATTAGTTAGTTAATATTTAAAAGTCAATTTTTAACACTTTAGTTGAATCAACATTCAAATTGAATTTCCCTTTGGATTTTGAGGAAATTTCGGCAGCCTCCCGGTGTCACCTCCCCACCGAGGGAGAAATCGGGGCGGCATTTGCCGAAATTTCTTCCTACCCGGACCTAAGGTCAACGGCGTAGGGCCTTCGAATTTAAACCATCCCACCAAGATCTAAGATCGACTGCGTGGGGTCTTCAAATTTTATTTCATCCCGCCCAGATCTAAGATCAATGGCGCAGGGGCTTCTAATTTAAAATCATCCGCCCGGATCTAAGATCACAGCGTGGGTTTCCGAATTCTAAACCATCTCGACCGGACTTAAAGTCGGCGACGCGAGGTCATTGACACCTGTTTGAAAGTTTTTTTTATCACTCTCTCCTTTTTTTAACATTATAATTATAATAATTATAATATAATTATATTTATAATTATAAATATAATTATATTATAATTATTATAATTATAATGTTAAAAAAAGGAGAGAGTGATAAAAAAAACTTTCAAACAGGTGTCAATGACCTCCGAAGGAGCAACCCTTGCGATCTCTATTCCTCCTATGAAGGACAAGTCGAACGGCAACGATGGAGCCGAGGAGCGACTCGTCCGATGTCTGCGAAGCAACGAATTCGGACAGCGACAAAGGAGCCGCAGAAGCGACGCGTGCAATCTCTGCCTCCTGCGAAGTAACGAAGCTGAATGGCTACGAGGGAACCGAAGGAGCGGCGCGTGCAATTTCCGCACCTCTGGTGAAGCAACGGAGCCAAACAGCAACGACGAAAAGAGGAGAAGAAGGGCGAACCCTAGACTCTTCTTGCGAAGTAACGAAGTCGAACAACAACATTGGAGTCGAAGGAGCGAAGTGAGCGAGCGTAAGTTCCTTTTTTTTTGTTCTATCTTTCTCCCTTTTATCGTGAAGTAGCGGTTATTGTGCGAAGAGATGCGTCATTTTGGCAAGGTGGGGCCGGCGGAGGCAATTGCTTTTCCTCACATTGATTCAAAATTTCTTCTCTTTTTTTTTTATAGTCAACATAGAGTGACAATAACAATTATTAGCTTGAGTATCTCTTCATCCTATATTCTTATCGTTAGTTCTCAGTTTAACGAAACTGAAATTGATATTTTAGGTCTTTTGGTCTTCATTATCTATTTTTTAACCTATTTTGCCAAAGAATTCTTCCATTGTTCAGATTGGAGCATGTCAAATTAGGTCCATGTAAAAAACCTGAACAATTAAATTTTGTTCTGAACATTGCATAGAAAGCCAACGACCATTCATATGAATGAGATAGGGATTAAATAGAAATTCATAGTGTAGTCCTGCTATGACTAGGAAATATTGTGGCGTCAAAATAATACAAATTGCCTGCGATATGAATTCTAGTTTTTAATAGCTTCTACAAAGTCCTAAGCCCGTCAGAAAGTCACAGCAACGTGATTAATTTTGACCTTCAAATCAACCAAGGTTTATCAATTTAGGTGAAATCCAACTGACTATGATAAGAAGACGATTTGATAGAAATAAGAAATATTAACAAGTTCTGAAAAATATACTCAATTGAAGATCTATATTTAAAAAAATATATTAATTTTGTGTAAATAGGCATCAGAGCAAGAAAGATGGGGAAAAAGGAATACCTCGCCCCCATTAATGCCACCATCGTAACATGGATGAAGCATAAGGGCACGAGAAAGGTAAGGGATCCATTGTCCTGCTAGAAAATCTCTCCGGATCATCTCCACACCACCTTCGTAATACTACATCAGAAAAGAACATCATATAAGCTTGCATCATTTGAATATTTGGTACAAATGTGTACAAAAACAACACTTGAAGCCTGTTATACTGAACAAAAAGCCACAAGTATATATTGTTACAACCTCAAGCGTGTTCCTTAAAAATGGCTCTTCATTAAAATAATCTCTTCGTACAAAGACAAATGGCAGCCTATATGCTAATGCTTCGCTGAATGTGCCATAACCAATCTTCCCTGAAATTATGGGTTCATTTGATAAACCAAAACTCAGTTGAAATCAATTATACTAAAGAAATTTTGTAATTGGTACCATTTAAGATTATTACCAAGCATGCAATCTGATGCTGCTATCAAATCAGGTGTGTAAGCATCTTTTCTAACTTTTATAAAGTTTGGAGGAAGCTCTTGTGTATCGGATGCACCGCATACCTTCAGAAAATGGAAGTTCGTGTAAAGACAAGCATCTTGAAGGCCATCTAAATTTAATTCATAACAATGTGCGGAGTAGTATACCAGGCACAGCCAACCAGAAGGTAACCACTCTTCCTGAAGCTTCCAGTCAGCTGGCTACAAGGATACAAAAAGGGGGAAAATAAACCATGGTCTAGGAATCGTTAAAAAATTAGGAATATAAAAAACCATTTGGAAAACCAAAGTATTAACAAAACAAAAGGAATGCAATATCAGTTTGCAGCAAATAATCGTTGGCATTTTGAGGATACCTGAGGTGAATGTAGCATACAGGTTCTGCAATAAAAACACATTGATACTAGTTGGATTCATTTTTGTAACATGTTTCATAGCAGGCCTGGATAAACATTTAGGTTGTTCCAAGATGACTGTGAGGTCGATACTCAAATCATTGAAACCACATAGCTATATTGTATGATAAGATTGCACATAAATCCCTCCCTATAACAGTATTAAAGGGATCCCAAGGAGGACCAGGAAAGCTTAGTAATAGAGAGAAGAAAATTCTAGCCGTTGGCCCTCTGATATGTACAATTCCTTCCTGTTGCTTTGCTGGAGGAGCGCCGGTGCACCACCCTCCCCTTCTATCCCTCCTTTACATGAAGTCTGCTCACCTTCCTTCCTCCTCCCTGACCAGCCCATATAATAAACATCAGCTTGCTATGCTCCATAAAATGTTGCTATCCGGGTCATATTTTCCACACCACCCCAAGAACTCCAACCACCCAAACTTCCCTCAAGGAGCAGAAGTAGAAGCAAAAAGCCAAGGCATAACCCCACCAACTCATCTTCCTCACTGCAACAAAAACCCTAACCAGAACCCACAATCTAAGGCCTCTGAGCCAACCTTAAAATAGGTTGGCAATTCTTAAACAAACATTCCATCCAAGTCTAAACTCCAATTTAGGACATTTTTTAATACCATCTTCAGCCTTCCCCTCCTCTCAATCAATTGAAGCTCAAAACAAATTCTCGGCCCCAACCTCAAACAACCTCTTTCTGATGTCCAACAAACCATTCTATAGGCTATTCTAAAACAAACCTTGCCCCCAAAATCTACTAAGGCCAAAAAGTCGCCCACTCCCCTGCCCGGAACCGCCAAATCTTCCTGTCATCGCCTCTTGGAATGTAAGAGGCTTTAATGGTTTGGATTGGATTCTTTCTTCTAAGAATCTGATCCAAACCTTCAACATCAATATTTTTTATATCTTAGAAGCTAAAGTCAACTTTGACCTCTTACCAGACAACTGGTTTTGTAATTCTCATTATGTTTTTTGGCAACGAAAGCTCCACATACAATTTCAATTGCAGCAATCCTGGCGAGATCTAGATCAAATGGAATGCTAATGTGGCTCATTTCAACCCCATTCTTGTTAATAACCAAATTATTCATGGCTCTGTAATTATTAGGAACACCACTTTGTACTTCCTCTCGGTCATCTATGTATCCAGCAATCCTTTCTGAGAGGACTATGCTCTGGGATATCTTAAGGAACATTTGTTGTTCGATCTCCCCGATCAACTCTCATTGGGTTGTCATTGGAGACTTGAACTGCTGCAAGCGCCAAAAAGAGAAAATGATATTTCATTTCATACTTGCTTGGGAAACTAAAGGAAAATGATATATAGCCCTTATGTTATCATTTTCAACTTTGGCGCTTGCAGCAGTTCAAGTCTCCAATGAAAATGATCACCCCCTGCTTGGGAAACTAAAGGAAAATGATATTTCATTTCATACTTGCCCGCACATATAGCTATTTTGATTTTCATTAGCTAACCAGAGCATTAAAAAAAAAGGCTCCAGCCGATGCAGGGTTTGCCAAACTGTTGATGTATGTGGCCTTGCCATATGTGCGGAGGGGCTGCCATGTTCAAGTCATAATGGAGACAAATTCAATGTTGTTCCATGCTAAATCTCAATATTTATTATCATAAAAAGTTAAATTTTACATGACTTCCTGCATTTTTTATATGCTTCAGCAAAATAGAACCCTCGTGTTTTTGGTTGAGCTTTGAAGAATAAGTACACATGGTTTTGACAGATATCCAATGAAAAGAAACAGAGAGAATTTCGGTTGCAATAATGAATGGGGACCATTTCGGTTTTAGAACATCAATATTTTTCAAGTAGTATAATTATCTCCTCATGGTCTAAGAAATTCAACATTAAACAAGTTTAAGAAAAAGAGAATGGAAACACTGGCTAGTGAAACTAAAGGAAAATGATATTTCATTTCATACTTGCCCGCCAAAGTTGAAAATTAATAGCTTGACATCCTCTCCAATTCCAAGCTCCATTCTCACCTGGTTAACAGATCTAGGATAAGCTAAAGCATACAATACAGTCAGCCACCTGCAAATTTCTATTTTCTAGTAGAACTCATACCTCTGATCGGGATTTATGTACTCTCCTGACAACCAGTGGAACATCAATAGCATCCCTGAAAGCAGGCACTTCATGATTTATGATAACAGTCAGTAAGTTCTATCTAAGGAAAACATAGGGGAAATTTGAGAACAGACTTAAGAATTGGCCATACATACTTGGGGAATAACCAGGAAGCCTGATCACAAACTCACAATGAGAATAGTCTTCAGCTATCTGCAAAAAAATACGATAAGATTAACATAATAATCCTAAATCTGCAGTGGAGATTACGAACAAGTCTTTTATATGCATGTAAGAGCTGTTTAACTTTTACTCTTTTCATGCATATATGACCATTCTTTTCATGCAGTCTATTGCAAAACATTAATTGATGGGTATATCACATCCCAGTCCATAGGTCAAAGCATTGCTCACTTTGGCTCACATTTTTAGAAATCAATAGCGTCCCTGAACCAGATTAAACGCTTTATCTTGATCCTTTCATGACAAATCCTTTAGAAAATTCTTCAAAATCCTAAATGCCATTCACTTATAAGATGAGTTGGGCAACCTGAATGGGACAAACTAATAAAGACTATACCACCCAAAACTTGGAAACTCATCGTAATCCAAGTGTAAAAAGAATTTGTAGAAGAGCACAAGTATCAAAGTAGGCCAGTGTGCACATTAAACATCAGTACCGATGATGGGGACATCGGAGCTTGGAAAGTTTATCAGAGGCGTGGCCGTCGATCTACGGCCACGATCGCGCCGATGTATTTTTAAGTTGTCATATGTATTTGTCTTTTATTTATTTATGTTTGTATTTGCTTTAGTTGTTTTCCCCTTTTACCCCTTACTTAAGGGCGGTCATGTGTAAGCCCAAAGGACGATGTCGTCTTTTATTTTGAGTCCCTTGTATGAGGCTATATATAGCCCTTATGTTCTCCTTTGAAGTTAATAAATGAATGATCAAATTTTCTGCATTGTGAGTTATTGCGAGAGCTTGAGAGAGTTGGAAGAGAAATCCCTTGATGAGGGAATCGGATCACCCACCAACCTTGGAAGAGTCCGAGTTTGTGGCTTGTTTTACTTGTTCTTTTCTTTCTAACCTCCCTCTCTCCTCAATCCTCCAATCCACGACTTTCCCCCACCTCAAGCCACCGGCCACCACCACAAAGCCCCACCATCGGTCACCAATACCTCCACCCTCACCCGTTGGCTAGCACCCCAACCCCCACCCTCCACCCGAACCCATCTCCCTCCACACCACCCACGACCAAGCCCACCTACCGCCGGCCCCCTCCCCTTTGGACTTGCCCCCCATCAATGCTTGCAATTACTTCCTTCCTAATTGGGGTTTAATATTTTAGGTAAGTCCATTATTATGCAAATTCAAATCTATTTGAATTTGAAATTGTAATTTAAAATACAAATCCTATTTTAAGAAAGTTACCAAATTTCAGCCCTTTGAATTTTAAAATAAATTGGGAAGTAATTAAGCCCTTCCTAATTTACTAATCCATTTAAAGAAGGCTTGATTAATAATAGCCTAATAAATAAGACTACTAAACTGGTGATTAATAATTAATACAAAAAGTCTTATTAGTAATGCATTAAGCAATTAACAAGTTATCTAATTAATGTATTAATAGTTAACTAGGATATTAAATAAGCTCTATATGCATGTCATAATAATATCCTTTTTGTTTATTTAAATAACTTATACCAGTATCACAATAATTTTTACCGCGTAGCTTCAGCTGTTATAGCACTCTAACAAGCAATCTGAAAAGATATTTTAGCAAACAATTAGCTGCTTTACTTTTATGAACAAGACAGCTCAGCGCTGCAATTAGTTTTTTTTTTTTTTTTCCCTTACTAAATACTGATGAGTATCCAGATCTGGATACTAACCTAGCAAATTAAGACATTAATACATCAACTCAGAGGTACAAAAAAGAAAATCAGAGAACCACAAAACCTTTAAGTCCTTTTATACAACAAAATTCAAAAGTCAATGTTCTTTATCTGTTATATTATTACCAAGAAGGCTTACGTCCCTTGTAGAATAGTCACATGTTTAGCTTTCCTCTTGAAGTATATAACAGCACGACAGCAAAATTATTAAAGTTTTGTTTTTCCAACGGACCTGAGTGGGAAAATATCAAATGGATTAAAAAAGTGGTCAAATAACAGCAGCAACAAGCCTGTCTGTTGGGACAAATTATTCTGTGCCGACGGCGAACGCTGTCCACAAACCAACCAAAATGCGCCACGTCGCCCCCTTCTCAGTACCCGACTTGGTACTGTTGACGTGGCGCATTCTGATTGGTCTCCGGACGGTAAACTGCGTTCTGCGTATGCACAGAATAATCTCCCGTGTGTTGGGAGTTAAAACTTGGGACTTTTTCAAATTTCTCAACAGTCCGTAGTCATGTCAACAAGTTATGATCTTACTTCTTGAAGAATGAATAATGCACAAGTATTTGACTGATTAACCTAAACTGCTCCTACAATATTCAATTAAAAGCGTTTCTAAATGGTAATCATCTGGATGAATGGGTTTAATTAAAATTATTTAAATTTTATGCTATGAGCATAGAGAGCCACCTTCATATGCAGAAGATGGATTACTTTGTGATTCTCCAGGATAAGTTCAACTAATCCATTAGCAAGATGAAGTAACTAGATTATTTGCTACGTTAAAGTGAAGCAAAAATAGCTAAAAGAAATAGAAAATTTGGAAGTTGCAGGTTCATGATGGTGGTTTACCAACCATTTGGAGCCAGAGCAACCTTAGGTATAGATGAAAGCACAAAAACACAGGAAAATTAATATCAGACTGTGTATCTTTGATCAACATTCAAGTTTGAGTGAAATGATAATGATTACACACCTGCCAAACAATAGAATGGTGCTGAAATCCTTCTGTCATGATATATTCTGCATAAATAAAATCCCAACTAGGAAAGAAAACTTGCATTAGATAACCATCATCATTAGCATTATCGTAACTATATGAGTTCGGTTTTATAAATCCCCATTCTCCATCAATTCATAATGAGCATTGCATAAAATGTTAAACCTATTTAGCACAATTTCTCTGCAGAACTGCCAACCACGTTAACTTAGGTCCCATTTCATTCCTTATCTTTCAACATTAATTATTTACCCATTGATGCGGATTGTTGCCTTGGTTCTGGGGATTATAACTTTGTCGCTGACTACTGAGAAATGTTATGCATTTAATGAAAGTGGGTTTTAACACAGATGCAACCTGATAAAAGATGCTTAAATTTTTGTCTGAGATATTTTTCTTCAAAATTAGAACCAAACACAGCTTGGACATGCCCCGACATGCCAGTGACATGCATAAGACACATGAAAGAAACGTTACATGAAATTTCCAATATAGTTAGCCAATTTGATTTTAATTCAGTGTGGCATCTTAAAACTCCCCTTCTAGCTCCAATCCCTCAGCGTGGAATGAATTAAGAGAATTAATACAAAAGAAATATCTTGAAAAAAGAGTTTTTATTATAGGAGATTTAAATGGACATGATGGTGGAGAGATAGATGATTTTAAAAGCATTCATAGTAGCTATAGGTTTGGAGCAACTAATGAAAATGATAAGACCATGTTAGATTTTTTTTTAATACCTTATTTAAAAAAATATATGAACATCTTAACATTTATATGAATGGATATAGTAAAACTCAGATTGGTCATTTTCTTATAAGAAAAATAGATTGTTTAGATTGCAAAGATTATAAAGTTATTTCGAGCGAAATTTTACGTATCTAACATCGCTAATCAATTTTTGACTTAAGATGAAGGGAAAAAATAAAAAATAAAGTAAAACATTATTATAGGATTAGATGGGAGCATTTAAAGAATATTAATAAAAATATTTTTTAAAGTAAAATTCTAGATCTTAAGATTTTGCCTGTGCATGAGAAAGCTAATGCATATTTTTGCTTTGATCATGGATTTTCTCACTATACATTTGCAAGAGGTACCCTGGTGGCTAGTGCATGCTTTTTGCTAATGATATTCTTTATGTTGATAAGATTAGAGAGGGGGTTGAAGGTAAACTTGAATTATGCAGGAGGTCGATCTTAGAGTCGAAAGGCTTTAGTTTGAGTAGATCTAAAAATTAATATATGGAGTGTAATTTTAGTAATAATAGATCTAGTAAATGATTATGACTTTGGACGATTAAGTCAATGATAAGAGTACATGTTTTAGATATCTTGGGTCTTTGTTCAAAGTTATTGTGAAATAGAAGAAGATATTATTAGTAGAATTCAAGTTGAATTGTTGAAGTGGAGGAATGCATCGGGCTTGTTGTGCGAAACCTGCAATGTTTTATAATACAAAATGTTGTCCACTAAAAGATAACCATATTATGTTAAGTATTGCGTAGATGAGGATGCTCATGTGGATGAGTGGCTTTACTCTTAGAGACAGGATATGAAATGAGCATTAAAGTGAAAAGGTTGGAGTAGCGCCAGTGGAAAATAAGATAAAAGAGAATCGCCTTAGATGAATTGGTCACATAAAATGGCTGCCTTCCGATGACCCGACTAAGAAAGTAGATGTATTAGATTTGGCTTATGTTAAGCAAGGTAGAGGTATACCTAAAAAGATTTGGTTAGAAAATACTAGAAATGACCTTTCTTTTATGGTTACAAAATGTTGACACTAAGTGTTTGTTTCTGTATTACATTGTGTTTGTTTGGGCTTTACAGGCTATTCATGATCTGTAAATCCTAAGTTCCTTTGTATAGACAACATACATCTAATCCTCCTATTTGCATGAGAAAAACAAATACCCTAAACCACCCTGCATCAAATTGGCATCAAAGCTTATGATTGAATCATCATATCAACTAAATGTATAAATATCAAATATATTAAAAAATTAATAAACGAGGCAAGTTATGTATAGGATAGATTTATGATTCTAGTAAATAACAATGTAACTATCATGCGATTCAAAATTACATTACTACATTCAATAAAGGGCATTACCTCAAAAAAGTTATAAAGAGAATCAATAATTCCAAAAAAAAAATTCTTTAACATTATCATTTTGATTCCCAAAACGTTGAAGTTATTGAAATAAAAAATTAGTGGGATATGCTCAATTATTTCCCAAATGAATCAAAGGTTGCCAAATCGCATCCTTTAACCCCAATAGAAGTCAATATCACTTTTCTTTTGCAATAGAAATAAGTTAAGCATACCTCAATAGTGGAATTCTACTTCATATTGCATTATGGATCAATCTCTTTGTACCAGTAAGATGAATTTATCTTGCATGCGCCACCTTGCAGAAAGAGCACGAACTACTACTAGAAAATATTTACAAAATCATCCCACTTGATATATTGTTGGTTCCACTACCAAACTTTTCTTGCAAACATCCTTGCCACCATCTTTCTGCTTCATCCTCCAAAGCGAAAGTGGCAAGCATGACCCTTATCTCGAGAGAGCAGGACAGGCCATTAACAATGTTCTCGACTCACAGTAACAAATTCTCTCATGCTCAATTGGTCCTTGAGAGCCAAAAAAAGAGAGGTGACTTCATATCCTATAGCAACTTCAGATACTTATCCATTGGAGTGCCTCCGCTTCAACTAGCTTGGGACCTATGATGCACCGACACACCTCTTGAAGAGAGAATGTAGTGTTGATCATGTGTCGGTCACGGACACATGCCCGACACGGCTGGGACACATTTCCGATTAAAATAATGTTTAAATTTAATCATGACACAACTGGGACATGTGTGTCCTAATTTTTTATGATAAAATTATTTTAAATTATAAAATTTTTATATTTACTAAATCAAATAAAACATCACATTCGCTCGTATATACATCAATACGATTATTGAAAGGAATAATTATAAGAGAATGAATTTTTTTTAAAGAGGGAATAATGATTATTGAAAACCATTATACCTACCTTTGTTTGCCATTTTTATTGACATGGAATAAGAAGAATTTTGATTATGAGTAAAATTGTCCCTGGTGACAACAGTGCCATTGGACCAAGCTTCTATGTTTACTTCTTGCATCATCGTAACCTCAAGTTAGGGGTGTAAACGAGTCGAGTTTTGACCTTATCGACTCGGCTCGTCAGCTGGAAGGTGGGCTCAAACTTGAGCTCAAGCTCAAAAAATGAGCTCAAACTCAACTCGACCCACAGTAAACAAGCTCGAGCCACACTGTGACATGATGTCCACCAGGCAGAATTTGAATCGCTAGCAGAATTTCATTTGGGTATAGTCGGGGTTTGAATCAAGGTTTAGGCGGAATTTAAAAAAAATAACATTTAATATTAATTTTTAATAATATTTAAATAGTAATAGTGATTCGAGCAGGCTCGCGATTCGAATCTCATCAAGCTCGAACTCGAGCACGACTCATGAGCTCAATAGCTCAAGCTCGCGAGCCCATAAACGAGTCGGCTCACGAGCCGGCTTAGCTCACTTATACCCCTACCTCAAGTTCCTCAACTCTAGCTTCCCTTCTTGCATCATCATTTATAATAAGCATTAAATATCTATAATGATCATTTAATAACCAAACACCAACAAAACATATTCACCTGATACAACTTCCTATGTAAGTTTTTAACATATGCAAACCAAAAAAATTATATAAACAAGACCAAAAAAAAGTTCCCCAAATGATATAGAACTAAATAAAGCAATTGAAGTTTTCAAATTCATAACACATACATTACATATTTATAAACAAAATTTATTTTTTTATTTACTCATATTTAATTGCTTATTGATTTATGTTTTCTGTATTTATTTAATTTTGCATTATTAAAATTTAATTTTTATATACTTATTAATAATAAATAATCTATCATGAATGATTTATAAATGCAAGTTCATAATGTGAATTTTGTATAAAATTTATGAGTGTAAATTTATTTAAATATATAACATAAATTAGCAATAATTTCTATTAAATTTATATGTTTATATGTGAACTAAATTTAATTTTTAATCACAACTTATATTATTGCATCATTATTACATCATTATTATATCATTCATTTCTTATTTAAATAACTTTTATATTTAATACATCATCTAATTCAACCATCATTTAAATCCCAATCAAGTCATTGAACTTTGAATTTGTCCTCTCTTCGATTCAATATCTAGTCTTACTTTCACAACATTGATTCTCGCATTACCATCAAGATTTTCCTTAAAATGATTAGCAACTAAATGTGAATTAAAATTAAGTGAGACTTACATTGCTTTATGATGCAAAATATTGGACATTAAAAGAGAAGCATAAAATTAAGTTAAGTGTTGCAAAGATGAGGATGCTCAGATGGATGTGTGAATTCACTCTTAGAGACAGAATGTGAAACAAACATATATGTGAAAATGTTGGAGTAGCTCCAGTGGAAAATAAGATTAGATTTAAATGAGAATTTGACTATTAACATGACAAATGGAGAAAAAGGATTCATGTATCCGACCTCATATAGTGGGATAAAGGCTTGATATTGTTGTTCAATGGAACAAGTAATCTTAAAATGGCAACTTTAGCATACTCTATGATAATAACTATTAGAAAAGATATTATAGATAAAAAAATATATAGAGTGATTGAATTATAGAGATGTTAAGGGGCTATTTGATTGGCTAAAAAAGGAATGCAATTCAAAAGGAATACTTTTGAGTTGTTTGAACGAATGTAGAGTAAATGCAATTGAATGATTTTTTTTTTTATTAGAAGTAATGAATGTAGAGTAAAGTCCTAAATGGTGATGGTTGTCGGCGGGCAGCTGACGTCAAAGGGCGGCGGCGGCAGCAGTGGTCGGCGACAAGCGGCAAACGGCGATGGCCAACAAACAGCGGTGGCCGCGGTCGAGGCAACAACGGGGCAGTGGAGGTGTCCAGAGGGCGATGGCAGGGAGGCGGAGACAGCAGGAAGCTGATGGCGATCAAGCGAGCTTGTGGTGTAAACGATTTTCATTCAAAATCGGAGGAGTTTGATTTACAACAAAATTAAATGCTTCACTTTACATTACATTTACTATACTTTGCATCATTTTGTATTCCAACCAAACACCAAAATTTATAAAACTCTTGTATTTGGAATAATTTACACCCTAAAGCAACTCAACCAAATAACCCCTAAAAGAAGCACATGTTAAAGTTAATCTAGGCATTTACAACATATGATAGAAAATATACCAATAAGATTCATAAACATAGTTGATGTGGAAGGATTAGGAAGAAGAGGGGATAGAAAAATGTAATATAGCATAAGTTATGAAAATAAATTTGCATAAAATAGAATTAATATATGATATAGAACTCTACAAGAATGAATGAAAAGAGGATTCATAAAGCTAACCCAAATAGATATGAATAAGGATAAAGATGTGGATCACAAAGTTTGAATTTTAATACTAGTTGTCTCAAAATGATAACTTTGCCATAGTACAAGGAAAGAGCAGCTACCTGAAGTTAGTGACACAAATAGAACGAATTCTGGCATCAACTGCAGCTCGGCATATAAGAGGAACAACATCCGAGACCTGTCTCCATTTAAACAAATTAAAAGAATATAATGCATTACCAAACAATTCTGGTCATGTAAATGAAAAATATACAAAAATCACAAAAAAGTTGTCAAAGCCTAATAAAACAAAGTACCACCAGGTCTATACAAGTCACAACAATGGACAAAATAATTATATAGAGAAATAGCTCATTGATGAGTTGGAATTGAAAATTAAAACCCATAATTTACAAAAGAACATTAAAGACAATTACCACTAAATCAGCCTTGATCGACTTTAGCCATTCCACTTCAGTTGCTAGAATTAAATCTCGTGGCTTCACAGCTGTTTGTCGGTACTGCATTTGAGAAAAGTTTTTGTCAAAGGATAGACGAAATCAGAATAACCAATTTCATTCATATAATAAAAGAAAGCACTCAAATCCAGAAATAACCAAAATATATCATAATTAGTAAAAACTAATATCCTTCAATCAGAAATGGAGAGCAGAAAGTTCAGATCCCAACTGCAATTTAAGAACACAAAATATAGCCAAACACATGACAAGGAAACTTTCCTGAAGAAATCTGTGTCTCTAGGATAGGTGTGGATACTATCAAGTTGTTCGTCATTCCATCAACATCCCACTGGATAACAAAGTAGATTGGAAGTTGAAAGTTTTAGATATTTACATCTTTTATTTGAATTATATTTAAATTTTTTTTGTAAATATAAGGTTTATTCTGTCATTATTCAATTATCTATATTCTTTAAAATATCCCTTATATCTCTCTTTTAAAACTTAATGAATTAATTATAAGTAAAATTCTACTCTTTGGAGAATTTAGCTAGCCAAGTTCCAGGTTCCCTAGATTGTGTGTTGCTTTATCTCCTATGAGAGTACCAAAGAGATGTTTGAGATAGAGAGAGAGAGAGTCAGTTCCTTATTTCACAGTAAATCATTATCTCCCCGCCTCTTCTTCCCTCCAAGTTATCACCGCTCTTTCTTTTCACTTCAAAATCCTATGCACAACTCAATCAATCTGGCATTAGAGCTTGCTTAAAATGATATATGTTGTATATGCATTACCAAACGGCAGTTTCTACTAAATCTGCTATTTCCTATTGTTTTGGGTCCAAATCTTGTCATTTCTGTTGAAAAACGGCACTCAATTCCTCAATACCATCTACTCAATTTCCTCCTCAAAATCCTACATTCATATTCATATTTCAAAGAACGTTCTAATTTAAACTGAATCCAAATTCCTCAAAATCCCTCAATACTATAAGTTCAAATTTAAAAAAAAAAAAAAAAGTTTCAATTCAAATTTAAATTCATATCCTAACCAATCCAGCTTAAGTTAAGGAAGGTTGCGGTAGACCTAAAATAATTTAGTTAGAAAGTATTAGACATGATCTTTTTTTATTAGATTTAAATGAGAATTTGACTCTTACTCGGACACAATAGAGAAAAAGGATTCATAGCCGACCCCACGTGATGGGAAAAAGCTTGATTTTATTGTTGATGTTGTTGCATCCAATATAATCCCTAAAAATCATCCTCGTTATTATGTAATTACCCAAATTTATCATAAATTATTTCTAGTTTGATTGGCTAGCAGGACACATGCTCTTTTTCCTTTATCAATACACAACACCACCATAGATTTTCACCTGGTCCAATTTAAAAAATAATGGGGATAGATTATGGAGCAAGACATCAAGAAGATTTGTCTGCTCCATACTCTCTCTCCCCCATTCTGGATTCCCAAAAACCATCTTTACAAAAGTTTCATATTTCGGTTGCTCGTACTCTCAGGAATATTAGCGGGACAAAGGCTTGATGATGTTGTTTTATTGTTGTACTCTCAGGAATATTAGGGGTAAATTATGATGATAAACGCCAATGGGATCTTAGCTTCATACCAGAGATAAGCCTAATTTTGATTTATTTAATTACATTAGTGCATTTTTAAATATTTTATGCATATTAACTTTATATTGCATGTTTAATATATATTTAGATAAGGATTACAAAGGAAATGTTGTGCCGTTAATATTATCCTTAGTGATACTTTAAGCATGTATTGATCTATCGTTAATTTCTTCCCTATATAGATTACTTTTAAGGATGGATTTTTAAGAAAATTTTAGCAATGCTACCGAGTCATCCGCATATAAGAATTATAGAAAAATGTTACAGGCTTGCCCACCATGCTAAGAAAGACATGTATGATTGGTATATGAAACACCATAAAAAAAATTTTATCCCCCACCGTATCAAGAAAAAAGTATATGGGCAATGCACAAAGCACCTAGATAGGTTTTCTATTTCACTAAGCCAAAAAAAGTGTGAATGGATGTTCCCTGTAGAAAAAACAAAAAAATATATATATATATAATTTCCCCATTGTGTTAAGAAAGACGTGTACAAACATGTTAGACAGCAAAGTTAAAGTTTTTAAAATACCTTTTTGGGTGCCATGAACAATTTAATTGTGATAACAATGGGAGGAAGTGATTTTTTTCTCGCCCTTTTTTTAGAGGACAACGTGACAACAAGGTATTCAAATAGAGGAAACTATTGAGAGGTGTTAGCAACTGTATTGAGCGCCAATGATCAATGGCCAGAGGAGAAATTGGGAGCTAGGGTTTTGCAAGATTGTGGGTGCTTGGAGATGGAATCCGTACAAAAATGGGTGAGTATAATCGAGGCTTTGTGGAGGCATTAGAGGTCAGTAAGGGTTCTCGAGAGTGCAAAGATAAAAAGTGAGTTGGGGCAGCAAGAAGGTGAACAACGAGAAATGTGAGATTAACATAGAGAGAGAGAATGGGAGACTAGAGGAAGAAATGGTGACGTTGTTGGGGATGTTATCAAAATCAATGGTAAAGGGTTGAGAATAGGTGTGTCAATAAATGACCAAACCTGCCAACATGATTCGAAAACGATCCAAAAAATCCAAATTCGGGTTGACCTGTCTAATAAATGGGTCAATTCATTTTGGGCTTTTCCAACCCATTTATCAAACAAGTTGGGTTCAGGTTGACCCACAAAACCACTTTTGACCCTAAAATGACCCATTTAATATCTTTTTTTCTTAAATTTATCTACTTGTATGTATAATCATCTTATTTTTTTTATCAAATATCCTAAATTTTATAGTTTAATAAGTTATATAAAAAAACTTTAGCTAAAATGGGTTAACGGGTCAAGTTCGGGTAATTTGCGTTGCTAGCAGATAGGGTTTGGATTGGTGTTTTTGACCCATTTATTAAGCGGGTCAAGTTTGGGTCAGATTAATTTCGGGTTGAACCCGAACCGAACCCATTTTGCCACCCCTAGTTGGGAAGAGATTGTGGGTATTGGTCTTGACAAGGCAAGAGGTATAAAAAAGAGTAGAGAGGGAAGGAGTTGTGATGCTTGTGTGAGACAACCGGGAGAGAAAGGGTGGCGCAACAAGCTTACATGTGAAGAGGCTTATAGGCAAGTTTCGTATGAAAGAGAGGAGACATTGCAAAGAGTGTGTGCATGCAAGTACTAGAAAGGGAATAATAGTGTATGGGAGGTAGTAGCTTGCCTATCGAGGAAGTAGGAGATTAGGTAAGTGTGAATTTGTTTATTTTTATTAAATGGGTCTAATGGCCCATGTGAAGGTGCAACAACGATTGGGATGGCAAGAGGCAAAAAGATCATCCTTGGTTTCAAAAAATAGGAGGTAGTTTGTGATGATCTGTATTATTTAAAAAATTAATAATTTTTAATTAAAATCTTTTTATATTATTATTATTATTATTATTATTATTATTATTATTATTATTATTATTATTATATTTTGAAAATGGTGTATCTATTCACTCTCCTAAAACTTCTCACCACACACAACAAATTCTCGTCATCCTCACATGACCACTTAAGCTATAGGGGGAAGGGGATTTCTTAGACAATTTCGACATTCCAAACTCATAAGTACAATCCATTTGGCAAAAAGTTGAGTGTTTTTCTTAAAACAAATGGGACATTTTGAATTGCTTACGAACAAAGTTGCATAAGTCATCCTCCATTGTGATCATTTCAATTGTGTTTTCTTATGGAAAACAGAGTTCAACAAAAGTCGAAATATGGTACAAAGGAACTAAACCAAACCAATTTTAAACCCTTGTTAGAATAATATTTAATTCCAAATTTACGATTTTTTATTTTATTTTATTAGATTGAATTGTCCTTTTTGATAAAATTAAAGTGGCATATTTAGATAGTATTTGACTTGGTCGTAATGATGCAGATACTTATTGTCATGCAACAATCAAACTTAAATATGTATTTTTTGCTAAATTCAATGCAATTCACTACATCAACCCCATAAATTTCTTTGGCACCACATATCTTAAAATTTATCAGGTCAACTGCATATGTATAAAATAATGATCATTCTCCTCATGATGATGATCGTTATGAAGATGTTTACAATAACACCTCTTCTTGACGAAGAGCTGAACAATTATGAGTTATCAACACCTAAGTTTATTACTGTACTTGAGTTTGATTCTGAGATGTTATTGGAGGTTAAAATAGAGCCTATGCCTGATAAAGCGCATGAGCCTGAGAATATTGTTAAGCATGAGATAGTGGTTTCTACAATGTCAGGTATTGAGATGTCTTTAAATGTGCCAAATCCTACAATTGATCTTCTCAAGCTTCCGTTGAGATTCTGACTCCAATTCAAATTACAACACCTTATGATATATGCTATTCCAAATGACGATAATTTGCTTCAGTTACATGTATCAACGATTGAATTTCTGAGCCACTATCACTTTTATGACCTAATCCATTGTTTGTCCAAATTGAAAATAACTCACAAGATATGAGGTTTGAAGCCACCAAGCTTTCTAAGCCTCCAAAACTTTATGTACTACATAGATGCTTCTTCCATCAAATGACCTAGTGTAACTACCACCTGCTCTTCCATGGCCTCTACTAAACTCGTAATAGAAGAGTTTCTCATTGGCCAAGCAAATTGATGCAACATAAATTAGCCTATTCCTAGGGGAAAAAAAGATTTTAGTGGGCTAATTATTTAGAGGCAAAAAGACGTATAAAGGAACTGAACCTGACAAATTTTCAACCCTTTCTAGAACCATTTTTAAGCATAGTCAAAATTCTTATTTTACTTTATTTTATTAGGCTTAACTATTTCTTGGATAAAATTAGGTTCGAATATTTGGAAATGATTGGACTTGATCACAAGATAGGATTAGATTTCATCTAAACCGAGCCTTATCCATGTAATCATATTTTTATAAATAGAAATCATTATTTGTAATTGATGATTAAAAATTAATGGATCAAACTTGACTATTTGTGATGTTAATCAAATGTTCCTTAGATTTAAGTTGTGTATGGGAATTTCTCTAAGTTGTGTATATGGAGTTACTTCACTTCTTTTCCTCCATAAAAATCTATTCTAAAAAATTGAAAATTCTATGTTGCACGAGTTGAGTATTAAAAACCTCTTTCATTCAAAAAATGAAATGGCTAACGAAGAACAAACTAGCTTATATGATGTGCTCCACCTAAGCTACTTCAAGTTTGTCATCAAAATATGAACTTATTTTCAACCAGAGCCCATATTTGATTGTGATGAATCTAATTATATATTTGGATTTGAACTTATGCTCATTAAAAATGTTTGTTCACCAAAAGAGTTGCTTCCCTTTCAAAACAAAATTGATTTTAAATTTTGTTCTAGTCTTTCACTTGCCCATTAATGGAAGAACTTTATAATGAATGATGAGCTACCATTACTATTTACCTCAATTGATTTCTTTGGCGAAAGTCCAATGTATTGAACCATCTAAGGAATTATTGAATTTGAAATTTATATCCTTTGGAATATTATTAATTAAAGAAATTATTAGACCTTCCATATTACCAACATCTATATGTCTGAAGGGATGAAAATATTTATAAGTAACTTTTTTGGAAAAAGTATGCGGAAATTATTTGGAACCACCCTTAAGTTTTCATTTCCTTTTTCACCCCAAAATTAATTGAGTGGTTATAAATTATAACATAGGAAATTGGAACTCAATTCTTCTTATTCTTGAATATTGTCTTTTAAATCCATCATGAAAACTACTAGCAAACTTCAATTTAGATTGTGCAAGAATTAACCATCTCCTCAGTATTCCCTTGAATACATTTTTTTATCCTTTATTTTCATTTTTTTAGCTTTTGCATAAATACATTTTGATGCTAAGAAACAAATTAGGTAGCATTATCAGGGTTATAAGACCTACACCGGCATTCATAAGCATTTTCTAGACTATGTTTAAGATTAATATGCTTTAGTTTGCATCCAGCCCACACATGCCTTGCAAAATACTTCCAATAAGAAAGACCTAAACCTCTAACCTCAACAAAATTAACAGAAAAGTAGGAGTTAATACATATATTTACTTTGTCATACTGCACACCTTAATCAAGCTTTTAATGTGGAAGTTTTTTGTCATATTGAGACCACAAGAGCCTCCAGTATTTCCTACATGTGTTTTTTCATCTGGACTCTGGAGTATTTAATTACAGCACTATTATGCCTATGTCCATTTTTTTTCATAACTTCCTAGTTTACATTAGATAAATCAACATGTGTATGATAAGATTGTGATTGGACTATTCGATTTCGGCCGCGTTAGTTTCTCCTTCATTACGCCGTTTTCGGTTTAAATCGGTGAAAACAGTTACAGTGTGTTGTTTATTAACACGCCTTTTGCATAATCTCTTTTCCCATACCTCCGTAATACCGCCGATCTTAAAAGAAAAAAAATACCGCTTACCCAAAATCTGCTTACTTTGTTTCTTTAAACTCCGCTTATGCAAAAGAAATGCCGCAACCAAACAAGGCCTTCATCTCTAAATTGTTTGTTGGCAAGAGCATCCACAATCAGATGACGCTTCAATTACACATGAAGAGGTTAATCTCATTGCCTCCTAATCTTCTTGAAAAATTTATCAAAAATTAAACTCTAAATATGAGAGTTCTAATCAACTTGGGATAGTTGATAGAAAGCATTGAGTTGTACATCATCAACATCAATATCCCACTAACAAAGTAGACGGGAAGTTAATAGTTTTAGTTATTCATCTCTTTAATGTGATTTAATATATTATTTTCTTTTAAATAAATGCACGGGCTTTAGGACATTGTTCAAGTCATACTACTCTTAATAAATAACTCTAGCATCTATCTTTTATGACTTGATGAGTTGATTGCAAGCAAAGTTGTACTCTTTAGATATTCAGCCGACCCACTAATGGGTTGCCTGGGTTATTGGGTGCTTCGTCCTCCCCTGAGAGTGTAAGAGAGTTCTGTGATATAATCGATTATTGTTCCCTAGTAATTCCCTAACTCCCCAACTATTTTTCTTCATTGGTAGCCACCTCCTCTGTCCTTTCAATTCAATGGAATTGTTTGATACAAGTAAAACCTACTCAAACTAGTAAGATCAGAAAAACGTTTTAGCTGAAAGATCATCCAAACTTAGAGAACTTTACAACAAATACTATTCAAGTGCAACTTAATTAAAGCATTCCGGAAGCAAGTCAAATGCTATATGATTTTCCATCAATACACTTAAAGATAAATCGAACCATACACAGTAATGTACCTTTTCCAAAGAGGCAAGGCGATCCACTGTCAAAGCGTCAGTTTGCACAGCCCCACAGTCCAACAAAACCTGAAAATCCAACCGAAGTATTAAAACAGAAGATTTATCAAAGCATGCATTACAAGTATCAACTAAGTAGATTTTTTTTTTCACTGACATTTCGTATTTTCAGATTTGAAGACTTTATCTCGCCTGTAAAAACAAACTCCGGGGCACCTGTAACCACATTAACTTCATGCCCTGCTTCAATCAGATGCCTTACAATCTGCGTCAAAATTTATAAAAAAAAAAAAAAGTTCCAGGATAATCACTTCGCCGTCAAATTTCGTTGTCTAATCGATTAATAGCATAGAAGAACAAAGAAAGCCGCTTGCTCGTGCCTCGACAACGCGGGTGGCATGGCCAAACCCGTGGCCGGTAACGTAGTAGACGAAGACAAGTCGACGCATCGGATGAGAATCACCGCCGGCCTCTGCATTTTCTATCCCCATAATCGCCTAAATCCTTCGAAGTCAAAAGACAAAAGTGATGAGGTGGAGCAAAGAGTGAAATGACGATCGATCGCAATGGTGAGGAAGTGATTCAACGGATCCAGCATCGGCCGCAGAGAACGGGGGAGACCGTTTAGCTGGCCTCCATGTTTATCGAGAAGCGACGAAATCGAAGCGGACATGCCGATAATAGGCCAAGGTCTTCACTGCTTTATCCGTTGGTTATTTTGTTATATATATAGCCGAACATTAAAAAAAAAATTATTTATTTAAAGTTTTTGGTGGATAAAGATTTAGGGCGGATTTCTTTCTAAATTTTGAAAAAAAAGCTGTTACGAAGAAAAAAAGAATGCCGTCTCAAATCTAAGTCAAAATTTATTCAAATTTATTCATATTCAAATTGTTTCTAAATATAGTTTAGAATATATTCAAAATTTATTTGAATTTAGTAAGATTCGAATTTGTGGCCTGAACTTTGTTCGAATAGAATCAAACATAATTTAAATCTTATTCAATTTTTATTTGAACAAAGTTCAAATTACACTCTAAATACCATCTTGGATCTCACACTAAATTGATTCTTATCAATTATTTATTATGTTTCCTAATAAAAATCGAACCCACTTAAAACTTTTATATTAAAAAGTCGTTTAAAGAAGTAGGAAGAAAGTCGTCCCAAATGAAGCCTTAGTTGTCATATTTTCCTTCTCCTTCATTCGGCACTTGATATTTAATTCAACTTTAGAAAATAATTGGTTGTGATATAGGTATGATTCGGAGGGTCATGCATTTGAACTTTGTTCGAACAAGAGTCGACAACATGTTCCAAAATTATTCAAAATTGATTTAACATGTATTCAAATCTTAAATTCAAACAAGATTTGAATACATGTTTATAAAACATTTAAACTTATTCCTTGATCCTATTCATAGCTTTATGTTAGAATTTGATTAAAACGTCAGAATTCAATTGAATCATATGATATAAATTCATAAATATATGATATAAATTCATAAATATATGTGCCTTTTTATTATTAAATCGTAGGAATATATTGCATTTTGTATATGAATGAAATCAATTAGCATAAATTGGTTTGGTAGGTCGACTCTTTACTTTTAAGATGACTTGTGATAATTGCCTATTGACTATTATTATTGAGTGATGGTTCATAAATTTATATCCAATTCAATAAATTTTTTTTGCATATAATTGGGCTGTTATTCACTTTTTTCATAGATATTCATTATATAGCTAGAAATTATAGGCCTTGCTTCTTTTAGTCTACCTCCTACGATTTATTTATAAAAAATTCTAAAATTTGCTTCCTTGGTTTGAGACATAAGGCTAACTTGGATAATATAATTCATGATTATTAGCCTTATAGTTGAGTTGGGACTGCTACTTTTACAAATAAGTGGTTTAGAGCTTGATAATCCATGTTGAAAAACCTATAAGATTAAGGTTTCGTTTGGATAACTTTCTTACTGCTTCACGTACATGGACTCCTTACCCTCACCTATTGGAACAATTATTAGGTCCAGACACCAAGCTCTACATCCAAAGGACAATAACATGTCGTCGCGGCTCTTACTCTTTACCATGCGGCCCGACGACCCGACCCTGACCGAAACCCGGTATTGTTATATTCCTGTATTGCTTGGTATTGCTAGGCATTGCTTGACAATAACGAGAAATACCACTCTCTCAAGACCAATACCTAGCAATACTTAGCAATACCGAACAATACCTAGCAAAACTAGGGTATTGCTCGGTATTGATAGGTATTGGTCTTGACATAATGGTATTTCTCGTTATTGCCGAGCATTATCGAGCAATACCTAGCAATACCCCGGTCTGCACAAATTAGCCAATACATAGTAATCCAGGGTCCGATCCGAGTCGGGTCGTCAGGCCGCACGGTAAAGAGTAAGAGCACATGACACTATTTTACTGGCATCTGAATGTAGAGCTACGTTAGAACACCGAACCTAATAAAAATTCCACCTATTGCCCTTTTTAGCCCTTTCACGCTTCTTTAGACTTTTTGTTGATTTAAAGACAATTATCGTATAGATTTTTTACATAGAGCGATACTCATCTCACTTAATTAAGGTGATTCACCCTCTGCTTTATTTGCTAACACATTTTAAAACATAAATTGTCCTATTTGAATAATACTCTTTGAATCATAGTCTATCTTTGATGCTAAACAAAGCAAATGAAAGGACATAAATATTTCTTTTATTGAGAGTATCTCTTGCAGATGTCATCAAGTATAATTAAGCTTAGAGAATTTGTTCCCTTGGGAGACTAGTCATACCAATATTCTCTACTAATTGATGTCATTTTGACCTTAATAATATGACTTATAGTGAATATTTTCCATTGGTTGATATAAGCTTAGAGAATTTTAGTGTCTCTTGCAACCTTTTTTAGTCATTGTATATGATGGATCTTTATATAAAGCTAAGACGTTAAGCTCTCTTCACTTTGTGAATATTCTAGCATGCAATAAATCCTATTTATTCATAAAATATTAAATATTTTTCGATCCATAATGCTTATTCTATTCTAATGAATATTGGTGTTCTCTTTTTTGGATATTTAATTATACTAAACTCAACTCGCCCTACCTTAAATAGTGATTGGTACAATATTATTTTAAAGATATGAATGGTATATATATATAAGTGTGTGTGTGTGTGTGTGTGTGGGGGGGGGGAGTTTTCATTGCCAATTACCGCATCATACAATTATTATCACTAGTTGCTATTTACTGGTCACCTGCCAGTTGAGCACCACTAACCGTCACTAAAGACAGCCACCATTGCCCTCTGCCCCAAAAAAGAAAAATAATTAGCCACTGTCGTTTTTAATCACCAGCCATCGTTGGAGCTGACTGATGTCATCACCAAGAATGGCCACTTCTTGTTGCCTTCTTCCTGTAATGGCCTCAACTATCTTCAAACTTTATACTACAATTACATCTTGGAATATTTGCGGATGTATATAAATATAAATTTTAACATCTTAGCTTTGCACGAAGATCCAACATGCAATCAAATAAGAGAGATGGTCCAGTATTCATAACACATATCAAATTTTTTTACGTAGAAAATCCTAAAAGGGGAAAAATCACGGGGCCTAGCCTTGTTTGAATGAATCCACTAGTATTTATAGTTGATTACAGATGAGGCCCTTCATTAGGAGGGAAGGCCTTGTCTTGATGTAATAAATATACATCATATAGAGTGTGTTCCATGGTGGAAACAAGAAGAATCACTGTTGACATGTTCATTTGGTAGGAAGGATCATAGTCCGAAGGCAACGAAGGTTAGAAAGAACATTGTCTGATGATGGAGGTCGGAAAGACCGTAGTCGGCAGGCGACGGATGTTAGAAGGACCCTAGTTGGTGAGTGACGGAGGTCATAAAATCATTGTTTGGAAACAAAGGTTGGAAGTACCATAGTTGGCAGGCGAGGGAGGTCGGAAGGACCGTTGTCTAGTGTCAGAGGATAGAAGGACATAGTCGACGGGCGACAGAGGTCGGATGGATCATTGTCGAGCGACATAGGTCAGAAGGAGCTCAGTCTGTGGGTGATGAAGGTCGAAAGGACCATAGTCGAGGGGGGCAACAGTGGTCATAATAGATGTTGTCTGGTGAAGGAGGTCAAAAAGACCATTGATGGGCAAAAACCTGATGTCGGGTAGAGATCTAACGATGGGCAAAAGTCTGGCATCGGGTAGAAGTTTAACGAAAGTTTGACGACGGACAGAAGTCCTACAACAGGAGAAACTTCAGCGTCGGGCTGAAGTTCGACGAAAGTCCGATTATGAACGAAAGTTCAGTGACAGTTGTATATTTGGCGTAGAGTAGAAGTCCGACGAAAGTCTGGCGACAAATGGAAGTTCGACGTTAGGTAAAAGTCTCACAAAAGTCTGGTGAAGGGTGAAAATATAGCGTCGGGTAATAGCCTAGCAACATGTAAAAGTATGATAATGGACGCAAATTTGGTGAAGTTCTGCGTTGGGTAGAAGTCTGGCGAAATTCTAGCGACGGGTAGAAGTTCAGTGACGGGCGGAAGTTTGACATTGGGTAGAAGTTTGATGAAAGTCTGGCGATGGGGAGAAGTCTTGTGTTATGTAGAATTCCGGCGTTGGGTAGGAGTCCGACAACGGGTAGAAATCTGACGATGGACATAAATCCAACAACTGGTGAAAGCTCTGCATTGGGTAGAAGTTTGACAAAATTTCAAAGACCGGAGACGAGTAGAAGTCCAGCGTCAGGTTGTCACCAAGCAAAAATCCGTATCAGTTGGTGGCAGAGCAAAAAATTGGCGTCCGTCGATAGTTGGGCAAAAGTCCGGCGATAGTAGGTGACCGGGCTGAAGTCCGTTGGTGGACGAGGAGTCTAGTGGCAAGAGAACTCTTCATTCTCTTCTTGCTTGGGTTCCCCTCTTCCTCCCTTGCTTCCACCCCTCTCAAAGAAGAAAGATGGATCTATTTATAGTTTTCTAAGAGTGTCATAACTTGTAAATAAGAGGAAGATCAATGGTAAATTGAAAGTAGTTTCAATCTCCTGATTATGGACCATTTATTTGGTATTTGAATGTCTTAATGATATCATAATTTGACAATCTTAGCCTCGTTTTATTTGTCTCGTCGAGCCGCTCGACTCGACTATAAAATGTCGCATTTGAAATCTGTTTTGTAATCCAAATTATAGATTGAACCTTCCAAATGCGCTTCGGGTCTTTGATATGGACTCATTTGAGCTCGGATTGAGTCAAATTTGGTGTCATTGAGTTCGTATTTTCGAGATGTTCAGTTCAACTATAAGTTTGCTCTAATGAGAGCTCAGATGATCTCTGATTTAATTTTTTAAATTTCAGTTTGATTTTGGCTCGAGATTCGTGCTTGATCAATATAATTTTTTTATGATATATTAACAACAAATATTTTATTTCAAATCAAATAAAAAAAACACTCAAATTTATTTTATAATCATCCAAATAATTATAAATATTCCTAATATATTATATTTTTTATGCCATGCTTTCTTTTTTCAGTTAAGTAGTTAACCAAATATCCTCATATGTGAACGAGAAATCTAAATCTAAGTAACTATGAAACGATATAAATAAAGTTATCAAGATCATGATCTCCTTCAATCACTAATGGCAAGAGAATGATTAAATTATTAAATATTTAAATATGATAATCTTATGTCAAACACTTTTAGAGGCGCATTAAGCATACTTCATTCAGATTATCAACTGTACGTTAAGTTATTTTATATAAAAATTATAACTAATTTAAACTAGAATTATTACTTCTTTTCTTTCATAGCTTGCTTATTACTATTATAATATAAATACGACAAAAATAGCTTAAAATTTGGCTTTTTTTTAGGTTGCTTGTACGATCTTAAACCCCACGTCCCCACTCCATCTCTTGCTTTCCTTTCAAACAGGCTCTTTCTGTTTCTCTTGTAACGCCAGCGGTCGCGCCTTCTTCCTCTGTTCGTTCCCTCCCGGCGCTCTTTCTTCGCCTCAAAATATCCCAAGCCGAGCGTGTCGGCGTATTTCTTGTTCTGCCACTTCGTTTGGTTTTCCTTCCTTCCGTCTTTGGCGAAGGAAGAGATCCAGAAGAAGGCTACCATCCTGTCGATCTGGTAACTTCCTTTGTCTCTGGTTTCCTTTGCGTAGGGCCACTTGGGTTAGTTCTTGTCGTGGTTTACGTTGATAGGCCTTTTATTAGCTCCTTTTTGGCTATTCCTTCTTCTCTTTCGACTGTTTTGATGCTTTATACTGTCATCTTACTTGAGTTTGATGGATTTTTTGTGGTTGTGGTTCGTCTAGAATCGACTGTTTCCATTGCCGACTCATCTTTTTTTTTATTAATAGCTAGATTTTGTTCTTACAGATTTTCAGGCGGGTCTTGTTTTTGATTCGGTTTGGGGGTTTTATTTGAATCGTGAATTCAAAATGGTGTCTTTTTCTATGCAATAAATATTTTTTACTTATTTTTTATTTTTTAAGTTTTCAAATGTCTTATTTCCCTGAATGATTCCTATGTAATTTTTTGTTGTTCTACTTCTCTCTCTCTCTCTCTACACACACACACACACACAAGCATACTTTCTGTTCCTTCAACTCAGTTCGGTGATTTTTCTGATATCTTCCCCCTTTTTTGATGATATGAGACGACTTTTTTCCTATTGTTAAATAAAAGACTTTGCTATACTCTTCCGTTTTTTATTGTTATTAAGTTGGATGATGCCTTGGTTTGCGATTAAATAGGCCTATATTGCCTTCTAAGAGTGTTTATGACTTCCTTATCTGGAAGATGGGGGACCATCTTGCATTGCTGGTAGATCGCCTACTTACGGAAGCGACACTAGCGGCCACTATAGAAAGCAGAAGAAAGCCCGAAACGGGACAAACCATGCTATTACCAACTGCTTCTGGGAGTGAATTAAGTCAAAAGAGGATTGCTATGAATGGTGGAAAACTAGTTGAATGCAGGATCTGCCAGGATGAAGATGAGGATTATAATTTGGACGTTCCCTGTTCATGTCGGGGCAGTCTAAAGGTACAGTTAAAATGAATTTTAGCTATAAATTATGTTCTTTCTAATTTCAACGGTGCTTGGTTTTCTAAGGGATTATTTGATGAAGGTCATCATTTTGTAAAAGTTTAGCGGCAACAATTAAGCACCTTTCTTATTAAAAAAAAAAAAAACACCTTGCATCTTTATTATCCATTTTGTTTTGGTCATATAATTATTTTTGTTATAATAAAATCCTTAAAAATTCTTAATATGTAGTAAACCTTGTTGCATGCAGGAAATGCTTCCACGAATGATATAATTTGGTGAACTTTTTTTTATTGTATCTTAGAGCTTCTAAACACACATGCATATGGTAGAAAATATACGACTTTTTTACATAGAAAGCCTCTAATGAGGAAAAAATCATAAGGTCAAGCCTTATTGACCAATTTTCACTATTTTGTAGAAACTCCATATGAAGATGATCCACATCTAGGCATTAATAGTACCTATGCATAACATGCCTCTTAGACAGTTAGAAGACGTCATGCCAGGGGACCAAGGTTAGTTGATGTAGCACGTATATGCGGGAAGGGGGTCATTTGAAATTTGGGATTTCAAATTAAATGGAGAAGAAAATTATTCCTTTAATTAAGGATGAATTAAGGCTCCAATAGGGGGGGGGGAATTAATGTGAATTAAATGGATTGGAGAGAGAGAGAGAGGAGGGGTCGGCCTAGAGAGGGAGAAGGAGAGAGGGTGTCCAGGTTCGTTGAATGTGGTGATTGATTTAAATATGAATTAATTTCAGATTTGAGAATATTAGGGAAGTTTCCAAATGAAATTTAACTTATTTTAGAAAAGGATTTCAAATTTAAATTGATTTGAATTTGAATTTGAAAAATTTCCTAAATTAAAACGTTGAATAAAAGGAAAGTCTTGAATAGGGATTCAAATTTGGAAGAAAAGGGGGATTGGGGAAAAGAGGCCGGCGGTTAGGCTAGGAATTAGGGTTAGGGTTAGGTGGCCAACGGCTTTAAGAGGGAAAGAGGGATTATGTAAGGGACTTTATGGCTTGCATAATCAAAGCTTTTTAATTGACGAGAAGAAATTAAATCAAATCCAATCAGAGATTTAATTGGACCTACTTTAAACAACATTCCTAAAATAAGAGTCCTAATTTAGGAAACAAATTTAAATTCAAATTAATTTGAATTTTTAATTCGAATTCATTACCAAATTAATTGTATATAATAGGAGGGTTTTGAATACAAGATGAAATTGTGGGAGCCAATGGAGGGAAGAAGGTGGTCGACGGCTATGAAGGTATTAGGGTTATGGTTTGGGAGAGCGTTCGTGGTTTGGAGTGGGGGAAAGCTGGCCGGTTAGGCTTAGGATGGGGATGGGAAATTTCGATGGGGAAGAAGGAGGGGATTGTGGGAAGAGGCCAGCGGGTTTGGGTTGAGGATGGGATGAAGCCATCGGGATTAGAGGGAGGATGGAGATGGTGATTAGGAAAATAAGGAGAAAACAAAACAAAACAAATAATAATAAAAAAAAAAGATATAACCCGAGCCTTGGACTCTTTCGAAGACTGATGGGTGATATGATGCCCTTCACCAATGGACTTCAAGCCACGAGCTCGGACCCATCCTACGGCTGGTGGAAACCACGGTTCCCTCCATAGGGATTCTCACTGACGTTCTTCCCAAGAACAAAAGTGCAGAACACAAATTTTTATTATAATTCTATCATACCTAATACAAAAGAAGGGGCCTCTATATATAGGCCTCAAAAGAAACCAAAAGATAAATTTGCCCATTGGGCTTAAATAAGACATTACTCGTAAATAAAAAAGAGTACAAAAAGGAAAATTTCAAAATTAAAATAAAATACAATTAATAAACTAAAATAAAATGGAGTGATCTCGGGCGTCGATCTTCGACTCTTCCTTTGAATATCGTCCACCGTCGGATGTCCGCATCATTAGTCCTCTCAAGAGTCGATTGAAATTAAAGTAGAAGTTGATGTGCGATGATAAGATTGAGGATATCCTATAATAGTCTCAATAGTAGTATGTTCAAGTAGATTTGACACATATTGCATTGCATTGCTCATTGAGACATTAAAGGCCATTAGTCCTTCAAGTTTTTTATGGGCTACTTGGTCATTACCATTGTATGTGTTGTGTTTGATACCCTCGATTGTTGTAGGTGAGATGACATATGATGGGAGTGTAGTGAGAGTCAAGGGATCATGAAAAATGCTATCGAAGGAAAGGAATTCTCCAAAATCATTTCTACTCTCTACCCTATATATCATCTACCCTCTTGGTTTATTTAGCTTTGGTCGCATCAACTGTACATTTTTTTATTAATATTATGTGCCTGGTTTGATTACTACAAAAAAATCACCTATTTTTTGGTAAAATAATAGATTTAAAATGGGTTGCTTGTGGCCTAAAATCCATGTTTTCGATGGATTTCCTACAATAAAACGATTTTCCGGTAAAACATACATTAAAATGGCTTTAGTCGACTCAAAATTCATTGAAAATCTTATTTTCGTTGGATTTCCATCAAATTAAATCACCTTAATTATTGAAAGCCATATGTTTCAAAATCCATCAATTAAAATCACTATAATTTTCATCAAAAATCATATTTCTGATGGATCTCCATTAGATAAAAATCCCATAACCTTTTTATTGGCTTACTCTTTCACAAAAAATTATATAATATAAATTCAATCCATTAAAACTCTTAATTAGGCACCTCCTCTTACCAACAAACTAAATAGAGCATATGACTACAAAAACTTTCAACCATGGGAAAGGAAGTAAGGAAGAAAAGCTAGGGCATACCTTCTTGATTGAACACAGTCACACATTGACAATATCTAGAAACTAATGACATCCAAATTGTCTACTTATTATGCAATCTCACACGTGAGCCACTTTGCCTCACACGCACTCACTGCGCTGGCCCAAGTTATTGCCTGTACTTAGTTGCCTCCCAATTGTCTCTTTTATCGTTCTCCTTTTTTTCTTATCTTGTTGATTTGCTCGCTTTTTTCTTCACATCCTAGGAGTTTCGATTCTGAAATTAATAATTGAACATGAGGTAGTGGGTACGAAAATTGGGTTCGGTCGGGTGATTGGACTGGCTTGGTCGAGAAGGTTAAATACGAGTCGTTATAATGATTCATAGCTGTAATGCAATAAATTAGAGAATTTTGAGATCATTCAAGATGTTCAATCTTTTATCATGGATGTGTATATAGAATAAATTAAGTAACAATGCAAAAATTAAGGTGGCAAATATTAGATATTTCACTAATCTATGAACTCTCATTTTCAAATTGCAAAATCATATATAAGGCCTAGCATTGTTGTTTGTTTTAATAATGGTAGGTCTTATGTTGCTGCTAAACATTCTCTAAGCTCAATTATATAGAAGATAGGGATGGTTTGTTGCACCTTTCATTGCTAGCTATTGGAGTTAGGCAGGGCCAAAGAATCATGAATGAATGAGGGAGGGCGGAAAGGAGTTGACTGATTCAATATCCTAACCCCAAATTTCTATACAAAATTATAACTGCACATTTAGACATTAAAGTTTTCTGGCATACATGATTCATATTTATTTAATTTCGTCAAAAGCATCAATTGCTTTTTAAAATGCATGGCCTAAACCACTTGAAGATGTATTTGTAACTTTTTTAAATTGCATTATTTCAATTCACTTGGAATTTTCTTCAATTATTTAGCTATAGCTGTTGTTTTTATTTTTATTTTGAAGAGTACATTTTGCATTAATCAAAAGCTATAGTTGTTGTTGCATAATAGTTTCTTACAAAAAACTAAAACCTAGCCATCTCTTTGATAGACAAAGATCCAATACAATCAAGAACATTAGATTATCATTACTTCACAATAATAAAACTATAAAGTTTAACCATATAAAACAAGTATTGGGATGTACATGCTATGTGCAATGTTTAAAGCCTTATACAAGATTTTTCTAAGTTATAGCTTAGTGCATCTTTAATTTTTCGCTTAAGAACTTTACTGAAACAAATGGAAGTAACAAAATAATCTCGAAAAATAATGTTTAGCTATAATTCCCATAAACCTTGTACACTACTAAATACATTATATTAATGTTTCTTACAAACCTCAAATTGATCATGTAGTTGATCTTTTATTCATCAAATGAAAAATATTACTGTTTAAGTCTATGTTCATATCAGCTCACAACGACTTAGTAGCAAAAACTTTACCAAAATGGTTGAGCCCACGTCGCTAATTTTTATTTGAAACATTTAGAAATTAGACGTATTGTATTTGTTGAAATATTTCGAAGTATAGTTCCAATTTAAAAAAATAAAATAAAATTATTAGATTATACTTTTATAGGAATGAAACTAAAACTTACCAAGTTTCAATGTGTTCGTCTAAAACCTCAATTTATGCTATCATGGTTAAATTGCATCATTTATTAAATTATTAGATTGACCTAATTAATATTTCCTATGCTTAGTTGATATAATGATATGGCCATAAACTCTATTTTTTTTGTCCATAAACTCTAATAGCTATTTGATGCAGGAAGGTTTAGAGTCTAAGGTTCTTAATACAACTAACATACAACAACAACAACAACATCAAGCCTTTATCCCACTACGTGGGGTCGGCTACATGAATCCTTTTTCTCCATTGTGTCCTATTAAAAGTCAAATTCTCGTTTAAATCTAATAAAGAAAGGTCATTCCTAATATTTTCTAACCAAGTCTTTTTAGGTCTACCCCTACCTTTCTTAACATAAGTCAAATCTAATACCTCTACTCTCCTAACCGGGTCATCGCAAGGCCGCCGTTTTATGTGACCAAACCATCTAAGGCGACTCTCTCTAATATTATCTTCTACTGTAGCTACTCCAACCTTTTCACGTATATGCTCATTTCGTATCCTATCTCTAAGGGTAAAGCCACTCATCCACCTGAGCATCCTCATCTCTGCCACACTTAACTTAGTATTATGCTTCTCTTTTAATGGCCAACATTCGGCACCATAAAGCATTGCAGACCTCACTACCATCTTATAGAATTTTCCCTTAAGTTTGAAGGGTACATTTCTATCACATAACAAGCCCGATGCATTCCTCCACTTCAACCATCCAACTTGAATTCTACTGATAATATCCCCATCTATTTCACCATCACTATGAACAATAGAACCAAGATATCTAAAATGTGTACTCTTATTAATGACTTGATCGCCCAAAGTCACAATCCCCTCACTAGGTCTATTACTACTAAAATTACACTCCATATATTCCGTTTTAGATCTACTCAAGCGAAAACCTTTAGACTCTAAGGTTGACCTCCATAATTCAAGTTTACCTTCAACTCCCTCTCTAATCTTATCAACAAGAAGAATATCATCAGCAAAAAGCATACACAAAGGTACATACTCTTGCAAATGTCTAGTGAGAACATCCAAGACTAAAGCAAAAAGATATGGGCTTAAGGCTGATCCTTGATGTAACCCAACCGAAATAGGAAAATACTTGGTCAATCCACCTTGTGTTTGAACACAAGTAATAGCTCCTGCATACATATCTTTAATGATTTGAATATAAGCATTATTAACTCCTTTCTTTTCAAGAACTCTCCATAGCACTTCTCTTGGAACTTTATCATATGCTTTTTCTAAATCAATAAATATCATATGTAGATCATCCTTATTTTCTCTATATTTCTCCATCAAACCTCTTAATAAATGTATGGCTTCCATAGTCGACCTACCCGACATGAATCCAAAGTGATTTTGAGAAGCATCAATATCACGCAGACAAACCTATGCTCCAAAACTCGCTCCATAGTTTTAAAGTATGACACATTAACTTAATACCTCTATAATTCGCACAATCTGTACACAACCTTTATCTTAAAAATAGGAATTTAACACACTCATTCTCCCACTCATCTGGCATCTTTAGTCTTCAAAATAGTATTAAAAAGTTTAGTAAGCCATGAAATCCTTCATCTCCTAAGCATTTTTCACACCTCTATTGGAATATCATCAGGTCAACAGCTTTTTCACCCTTCATTTTCTTTAAAGCCTCTCTAACTTCAGTTTACTAATAGCCGATAAAAATATAAATCTTTATTTTCATCTAGGGTGCTAAGGTCACTATAGTCAATCTTATTTTCACAAATCTTCATTAAAAAGTTAGCAAAATATTCTCATCCATCTTTGTTGAATATCATCTTCTAAGAAAAGTATTTTTTGATCTTCATCTTTAATACACTTCACTTGAACTAATCCTTACTACTCCTATCTCTTTTTGGCTAACTTTATACATATATCTTCTCCCTTTTAGTATTAATCTATTATATAATCACTAAAAGCTAATGCCTTTTGCATCGCATATTGCTTTCTTAGCATCCTTACGAGCCACTTATATATATTCCTCAATTATCAGAATTTTTAAAATTAAACAGTTTTATGACAAAAGCTTTCTATTTTTAATTTTTTCTTGCACATTAGGATTCCACCACCAACTATTTTTACTATTGGGAGCTTTCCCTTTGATACTCCAAGGACATCTTTTGCAATATTCTTAATATCACTATTCACTTTTTCCCACATAATATTAGCATCCTCATGCACAGACCCAAAAAACTTATGATCTAAAATCTTATTTCCAAAAATATTTTTGTTAATATTCTTTAAATGCCCCATTTAATCCTAGAAAATTGTTTTACTTTATTTTTTATTTTATGCCCCTTATCTTAAAGTCCAAACTAATAATCGATGTTGGGTACATAAATTTTCACTCGGAATAACTTTACAATCTTTGCAATCTAAACGATTTAATTTTCTAATGAAGAAATAGTCAATCTGGTGTATTATCCATTTTTATAAGTGATGAGATGCTCATTCCTTTTCTTAAATAAGTATTAGCAATTAAAAAATCATAAGCTAAACAAAAATCCAATATGGTCTTGCCACCTTCATTCGTCGTTCCAAATCCATGGCCACCATGAATGCTTTAAAATCATCTACCTCTCTACAACATGTCCATTTAAATCTCCTCCAAAAAAACTCTTTCTCCAAAGAGGTATATTTTGTATTAATTCTTATAAGTCATTCCAAAAATTTAATTTAGAACTCATATCCAAAACCTATTGAGGAGCATAAGCACTTATTAATATTAACAATCTTATCATCACAACAAATCTTTAAAGCTATAATTCTATCTCCAATCCTATTAATTTATAACATTATCCTTTAAACTCTTATCTATTAATAACACCTTAACACCATTTCTAGTATGACTCCTACCTGAATACCAAAGTTTAAATCCTAAACTATCAATTTCCTTAGCCTTCTCTCCAACCCATTTAGTTTCCTGAATGCACAAAATATTTAATTTCCTATGAATCATAATATCTATTAATTCCATTAATTTTCCTGTAAGGGAACCTATATTCCAAGTTCCTATCCTAATTTTAGTTTCATGGACTAGCTTCTTTGCCCACATCCGTCCTTGATGTGGGAACCCTTGCCTATTTAACACTGCACCCGGGCGCCGGTGCAGCGGCCCTTGCACACTTGTCACTGTATTCAGGCCATACAGCGCGTCGCTTCCAGGGGACGCCCTAGCATTAACACAATTTCTTAAAGGATTCATGTCATTATTGTTCGACAAGTTTTACGCTGGCTGTCGACTACCTAACGCAACCCTCCACTTTTCTCATCCAGGACTTGGGACCTGGCAACGGCAGTGTTAAATACAACTAACATGATGAAATAAAATATATCACACAAAGGGAATTAGAATTTACAAATCAATGATTACTAAATATATAAATTTTGTTTTTTTGGCGCAAACCAAAACAAAATGAGGATTAGACTCGAACAATAATGCAATGATAAATACATCTCGTGAAATCAATAAGAAATTAGAGCCACACAAAATCAACAAGCAATTGCAATTTATTTATCATAATTAGAATCCTAGTTGTATTAAACTTGAAATAACATTATGAACGTTAGCTAGTAGATAATACAATATTTAAAAGCAAATATGCAAGTCCATCTAAGTAGAAGAAATCTAGGGCTCATGCCAGTACAAGAAGATGGCTTTCATTGGAATGAAAGTCACATTTATATCACACTTAAAGAAATAACGCACCAAACTTGCACTCACAAAATGGAAAAATAGCTTTTTTTCCAATCAAACTTGTTCCCTAATCCTTAGGTTGATTGATATGGTTTGCACGGATCTGTCCAATACAATTCAGGTAATCCCAAAATTTTAAATTTGATATTTTTCCAAATTCCAATTAGAATTGACAAAATTCCCTTCGAACTCCTTCCAAAAAATTCCATGAAAAGCTCCATCCAAAGTTGTCAAAGACCGTAGATGGTTCAAACTGCTGCCCGCATAATTCCAGAAATACAGTAACCGGTGAATATGAACCGTGAGAAGCAACCACAGCTTCACAATTCCAGCTATTTTAATCCCATAGGAAGGAAATAACAAGCCACATATGTAGGACGCAAGTCATATATATATATATATATATATATAAACTAATCCAAGCCGTGAAGTAAACTAGTCCAAGCCCATTACCAACCATATAAATTCAATTTAAAATCAGGGGTTCAAATTAATAGAGAACAAATTCCACTACATTCCTCATAGGCACATTTCAAATGACTGAAATAATAAACTATAAAATAACAAATACCAAGTGGTTAACTAAACTTGCTCAGGTTATTTATTTGTTCAACATTTTTGTTGATCGTTAAATTACAAATCTCCATCACATGTTAACATCCGAAGTGGAAGACCAAACATTGAAGCATATTTTGAAGGTTTGCTTATTATAGATATATAACAATTTCATATATGGCATAAGCTATTGTTTTCACTTAATTGCTATCAATTACTCAACTTTATGACAACATTGTTCTAATACTTTTTTTAAGTTTCTATTATGCTTTTACTTATATGAGCTATCTTGTAATATTTTTGCCTTTTTCAAATTAAATGAAAAAACTCTAACTACAAATACACCTTGCCCAATTGGCTCGGTAACTGTTTTGTATAAAATCATGTTGCATATTTTAGCTTAAATTTGGTAGATTATGTCATTCTTCTTTATGCAGTTTGCCCATCGAAAATGCATTCAACGATGGTGTAATGAGAAGGGTGACACAACATGTGAGATATGCCAGCAGGTATCCATTTATTTATATTCCTATTTTATCATATAAAGCCCCTAGAATTTATTATCTTTTGGTCATTATTCTTTGGCGTGCAGCAATTCAAGCCAGGCTATACTGCTCCTCCCCAGTTGTTTCACTATGGGGGTGCTCCTATGAATTTTAGGTATGCTCTATAAAGAAATTTTAGTTGAATTAATTCAGTCTTAATTATGTGATACTTATTATTTTGTTGATGCAATAGTTGAATTAATTCAGTCTTAATTATGTGATACTTATTATTTTGTTGATGCAATAGTTGAATTCATTCAGTCTTAATTATGTGATACTTATTATTTTGTTGATGCAATTTTATATATGTAGGGATATAGAATAATCAAGGTTAGAGATAATAGAGCTAGGAATTTTGATCAAGTTGGATGTATTAAAAGTCAAGATTAGATGATCTTGATTAAAAATGAAGACATTAAAAAAGATTGAAATGCTAATTAGATTACTAAATGAGAGTTTAGGAAAAAAATATTTTTGAAGGGCAGAATACAATATAATGTATTAATATTATAGATCTATCCAAAAAAAGAAGCAGATTAAGCTTTGCAAAGATGTAGAAATATTAGGCTTTATATCAGTATGAAATATTTGTCGATATTTGGAAAGCTATGGGAGTTATTGCAGTGATTTGATTTATATATCCTTTCAGTATAAATTTGAAGAATTATATAATGCCAGCTAATTGGAGAACAAGCGTTTTATATGCATATTTTAGATTTTTAGGACAAAAATGATGTTCAATATTGTGTTAACTATAAAGAAATCAAACGTATGGAGTCATTTAATGAAGTTATGGGAGAGAGTGATGAAATATATGTTTAGAAAAATTAAATCAAATTCGAAGAACTAGTTTGGTTTCATGCCAGGAAGATGTACTGTGGAAGTGATATTTACATTAGATTAATTAATAGCAAAGTATGAAGATCAAAAAGATATATTTAGATAATTTTAGATGTTCAGTAGGCATATGATCAAGTATCACAAAAATGGATTCGATGTGCTTTAAGGCATGTGAAGTTCAATGAATTGAATATGACATTTTACCTCTGTTATTTTACCACAAAAAACACATGTCATGGTATTGTTATCAGATTCATTAATCAGTATTGCATATTTTCATGTTGGATTTTTTTTAAAGAGTAAATTGAATCTGATATTTTATGATCACCTATAAGCAAACAAATTCAAATAAATAAATTTTAGTCTCCATTAGTATTAGATGAATAAAAGCAATGTAAAGTTCATCATACAAAACACAAATCAATGTAAAGTTCATCAAACTAATCACAAATCACAAATAATGTCAATATGACACTTTCTTTTTTGCCACAATCAATTCACGTCCCCACATTTAGACTCATGAAATATCACACAAGGTTGCTGCCAATTAGTATTGATGAGTTAAAGAGTGATTATTCTTTTGGAATGGATACAATGACATCTAATGAAGTGAAATGAATTGAAAATTGACTTGGTGGATTAGGCATGTATAACATGAGTATAAAATGCAACCATTAGATAGGTAGCATTGAAAAATTAGAGTGAAAAACATAGGAGAATATAGATAGAAATTGTTCAAAGTGATTTACAAAAAATAAATTTAACATCTCATGCAACACTTGGCAAGAATGAATTAAAAATAATAATTTTCATAAAACTAGCCTGAAACAAGGCTAATGAAGATTATTATAATGATATTTTCTTCAAGATCTGAAATAAACAATGATAAAAATAATAATATAAGAATTTATTTCATGGAATATTTTTTAAAAGAGAAAATTGGGCAAAAAAAAAGGAGAATATTATAAGTTCTCCAAAAAAAATTGAAATTGAGTATATTTTAACAATGTGTACAAAAGTAATGTTTTAGATTATGAAAAGTCTTTTATTAAGAATTTATTTTTCAGCTAAATATCATATAATGAAAGCACACATACTTGGACTCTTTCTACTATCTCCGATGTGAGATTGAAAGCACACATACTTGTAGAAGATTTGTAGAAACAAAAACATAAACAAAAAAAAAAATAATAATAATAAGAATTTTGTTATGCTCGGTAGGGCTCACTTACTAGAATTGCTCAGCGAGAAACACAGTGGCGGCCTTCGTCGAAAATAGAGGAGAAACACGGGAGAGGGAGTTTGCTTCCGTCGCGTGCGGAATCAGACGAAGGAGAGGGTGGAAGGGCTCGAGCACTTTGTCGCTTCCTTCGTGCATCGAACAGGTTGCGGGAGCAATCAAACCGTTCATTCATGACTCTCATGAGGATTAGGGCAGCAACAATATAACATTTATCTAATAATTTAATCATATTTGGTAATTAAAAATATATTATATTAAAAATAAAAAAAATATAAAATATAAAAAAATTATAATTATATAAAAATGTTTAAATACTATGCCTCGCTATTTTGCGCCATTGCACACACATGGCGCAAATAATGTGCGTCATTTTAAAAATTTGCGCCTCGCCACGCCGTGCGCGGTGTGCCATGGCGCACGCTATTTTATGTCATTGACATCTATGTTTTAATTAGTGAGATATTTATTGAAATGAGATATAAATTAGAATAATAGAAAAAATAATTAGAAGATAGAGGCATTATAATTACTAAACCAAAGATTGAATCGTGAATGTATGATATATAAATTTAATGGGTATAATGCTAATAATTATCATTCAATTAGAGTGGTTTAAGTGTCTTGGATCTATTATACAGTGGAAGAAAAACAGATGCAAGCACTTAAGTTCTAGCGGTAAGATTGAACGGTTAAAATGGAGAAGTTTCTTAGATTGTTTTTGTGTAATAAAAATGATATTATGAAGTTTTGAAGGTAAATTTAAATATTTGTAATTAGGCTAGTGATATTGTGTGGATTTAAATGTTTGGCTTTAAAAAGGACATTGATATCTAGGTTGAGAGTGAGATAAATGAGAATATTAAAATAGATGTGGCAAAACTAAGGAGGATATGAATGATTATATTATATAAACTATTGCAGTAACATCTATTACAAACGACATGATTTAAATAGGCTTAATTGGTTTGACAATTTACAATGAAAAGTAGAAAATAAACTCATTAGATGAGTTGATAAAATTAGTGCCGGAGAATTATGAACAAAAAGTGGGAGACCTAAGGTTACATCGATATAATTTGTTTAAAATGATTGATGAAGAATTTGTTCAACTCTTTAGACAACACTTAATATGGACAAATAGAAAATGATGATCCCTAAAATCAACCCTAAATAGTTAAAATAAGGCTTCTAATGACAATGACATGATATGTATGAGCTATCACTACGACAACTTATGTTCATATACACATTGAAACAATTTGATGGTGTTATTGAAACCTTCTATGCGTGCATCATGTTGTATGATATACATAGAATTGCATTCCCTATTAATACATTATTGTATTTATGCAGGGGAAGCTGGGGGGTGTCTCGTAGGGAAGTCCAAGATGCACAAATCATAACAATTGTTCCATCAGATCGGGACTTGATCAACTCGGATTATGATTACTATACATCTACCAGTGCAAGAAGCTCAATGTATTGCCGTTCCGTGGCCATAATAGTGAGTGATTATTGTTGATATAATTTCAACATTTTTTTGATCTATTTGGTTGAAGAAGAATATTAAACCTTTTCTTGCATCCAGTTCATGGCTCTCCTAATTCTTCGCCACACATTGCCCATCATGATAAGTGTTTCTGAGGACGATGAGCAGTATTCATTCACACTATTCACGGTAACAGTTAAACCATATTAGAAAAAGAAGGAAAAAAAGAAAATGAAAAAAGATAAACATTTTTGCATCAACTTGTGAGTAACTTTCTTAGTGTCTCTTTATGCTTCCTTTCATATTAGATGCTAGCCTTGGGGATTGCTGGAATACTTCTGCCAGTTATCATAATGATCAGGGTAATAAATGCATTTCAATGCCGTCAGCATTATCAGGTACTGCTTCGTTGGTAGATTATTAAACAACTATTTCCGAAAATATCACCTGTACATCCTCTGAATTACTGTTCATTTTTTTTTACCACTTGATGTAGAGGAATAACACTTTGATAGCAATTCATGTAATGAAAATATTGATCTGATTCCAATTTAGTAGGAAAAGTCATCCTTAATTCCATTTTGAATGTGTGCTTTTTGATAATCACTTTTTTCCCCTCTAAATCCTGAATGTAATGGTGGGTTAAGGCAAAAAATTCTAGTATATTTATGTAATCATCAAATGCAAAATGAGGGCCCTAGGCTTACAAGATACAAAGGGTGCATGACAGTGGTTGTGAATCAAAGAAAAATACATGAGTATCAGTTCAAAGACTCAGCATCCAAACTGAAGTAATATTCCATCTCTAAGAAGGCTATTCAAACTCCCATAAAGTATTAACATCTAGCTCGTGTAATCCTCCAATCAGCTTCAAGGTAATATCAAGGTGTGTCAATAGGAGCAAATTCCATTGTTACCTCGCACCAAGCCATCATGTAATTGTCATTGGCAAGAAAATAAATGAAAGAGAAGACAGCCTCACCCTTTAACACTTTAAATTCCAGGAGACTAGAAGAAGCAACAATCAATTTACACTCACTCAAATCATGAATTCCATAGCTGATACTTTCTCAAACCCCCGAGAAAGAGTTCATCAGAACTGCAACATATGAAAATGATGAGTTTCTTTTATAAAAAGCAATGTTTAAGATTGCGCAATTGAGTATTGAGGCGTTTTTTCATGAGCAAATTTTTTAAAAGTTGTTGCTCTTATGTTGCATAGGAAGAAACCATCCTTCTGGCATGGTGCTCTTTTGGTTGCTCCTATGTGCAAGGTCCTTTCTCCTATTTCCCACCCTTTGCTTCTTCAATGCTAGAAAACTCTAAGGATTCATTTGGGGCAACTTTTTAGCTATTTTATTGTTCATATGGCTGTCGCATTGTTATTTGTTCATTATTTTCTTGTTATTTTTTCAAGTTTTCACAATCACAGATGTTAGTGTATAGTAGGTATACGAAATCTGCTTCTTTAATAGTTGCTTTCAAAAAAATTGCTTTCTTATAATAATTTTGCAACTAGTTTTGTAAATAGTTGCAATCATAATCCTTATTTTCTCCATATGTAAACCAATATTTTTATTCAACTAAAAAGGATAACTAAGTACATCTTAGTACTAATTTGCAGAGGCGCTGCTTTTGTTTCGGGTTAGCAGGTTGGATTGTGTCCTGTTAGGTTGTTGGCGGGTTGGATTCGTGGTTGAGATTTTAATCTATTTAGATAAACGGGCCGGGTTCGGCTCAAACATTAAGAGAGGGTCAATTTCGGGTTGGATCTAAATCCGACCTGAAAACCCATTTTTACGCCCCTAGATGCGTAGATGCAACTGATTGTGGACGCAAAAGCTGGATCATGAGGGGGATGATTAGGTTGCACGAGGCAATACATACTAGGTGGCAACTAGCTTCATTAGTACTAGGGTTGCCTTTGGAGGGTGACTTTACCATCTCTTATTTTATCTTTAACCTAAACTCTCTTTTGATTTTCCACATGCCTACTTAAACTTTTTTTTTCCTTATGAATTGCACACGGATCGGTATTCTTTATTTAAAAGAAAGACGAAACACCAATTTTAAATCTAAGATAAGTACATTCTAAAATTCTTACAAAAATATTAAGACTTTCCCTCTATGTGGGGTGGTCTACATGAATTCTTTTTCTCAGTTGTGGTCTACCTTTTCTAACATAGGCCAAATCTAAAACATCTACTCCCTAATTGGGTCATCGGAAGACCAACATTTATGTTTCCAAACCATCTAATGCAACTCTCACTCATTTAAATTAAAGAAATCCTAAAACTTGGATTCATTATTTCATTAATATTAAAATAAACAACTAAAAAGTAATCTATAACTATGCTAATCTTGCTGCCTACTTTAGATATTGCATCACTATCAAATACTCTTTCTTTTGGGTGGTCACTTAAATTTGAAACCATTCCTTCATATTATAATCTATTTTATTGGGCTTGCATGCTACAACCATAAACTTTCATGAACAAATAAGTTTGGTGTATGTACCTAATTTAAATCTCCATATTAAGGGGGAAGAAGGAATGCATGTGGTAGTGGGAGGGGCGAGCATTATCCTTGACAAATGGCACTCAATTATCCCCATGTTTTTTTTTTGTTGGCATTTACAGGTTGCAACATCGAGTTGATAGATTAAAGCTTCATTTGGGTTAGTTTTTTTACTGCTTCTTAAAACATCTTTTTATTTTTGTACTAGAAAGCTGTTTTAAGAAACAGTAAAAAAAGCCCGTCCCAAATGAAACCTAAAATTACTAATGAATACACACAAAAGACCTGACATCTATCTTCTGCTAACTATCATTGCAATATTATTTATTTTTATTGTTCAGTTCCATTTCGATAAACTTTAGGTTCTTCTTGAATTGTTACCTACTTACCAACAGTCACATAATTAACTCCTGTTCAATATCTTATTTTCTTATTTTTAACATTAGATAGCATCCTTTTCTGAGGCTTATTTATGTCCTTACCATCTGTTTATTCCTTTGGATCCTTACAGAGAACCCATGGTTTAAACATTTCAGAAGAGCAAATACTCTCTCGAGAGCAGCTAATCTAAATCCGCTAATACACTGCTGATGGTTTCATAACATCTGGAACTATAGTTGTAAATAGGAAACCTGAAACGAAAAAATACAAAAAATGATAACGAGAAAATGCTTTGTGAAAGGTGAGGTGTGAATTTACTGTATTTATTCAATGTACATAGAAAGAGGCTATTCTCTCCAGATGTTTGGAGCTGCTGCTGTAATGTAAATATTATTATCCTTGTAAAAGATTAAGGTTCATTAGTGATATAGAAGCTTTTCTCAAAGATTAGCAGGATGGCTTTCATTCTTTTTTTGTTTGTTGACTTTGCAAATACTGGGCTATTGTCAGGTGTATTGCATTCTTTCTTCACCATTTTCTTAGTTTTTGAAGCTTTTAAAATGTGTAAGATTTTACAAATTTTGATATCAGCAATGAGCTGAAATGAAAATTGAAGATTCCAGATGACTGTTAAGCTGAATTTGAATACGAATCTGTCTTGAAATGATTCAAGTTTGTGCCTATTTCAAAGGCTAAGTCGAGTCAATTCAAAATTACAAAGATCTGTTGTTATCAGTCTCAAGTCATAGTTAAGAAAATTAGAGGGTTGTGTTAGATAATTGACAACAAATTTAAAATTTGTTGAATAATCAGGATATAAAATTTTTAATACAAAGATATGAAATTTGTTACTTTTAGTGTCACTTGAAAATTCGATCCCAATATGAAATTACTTAACAAATAACTTGAGAGAGTTACAACTGGAAAACATAAGCTTTGAGAAGTGGAAAAATGATAAGAATGTGGGATATTAAGGTTTCGTCTGAGACAGTTTTTTATTTGTTGAACTAGTATTTTAGTAAAAAAAATTAAATTTTTACTAAAAAGTTATTTTAAAAAGGCATAAAAAAATCGTCTCAAAAAAACCTACGAGTTGGTAGTTTAGTGTGCCTTCAGACATTCTACAACAAATGATGGGCTAGATTAGTGTTTCAGTCTGCTTGTATATAACACAGCTGCTAATTAGTAGGGGCAAAGAGCAACAATTTTGGGATTTATTTGAGAAATTACATTTTTGTAAGCCATCAAATGAAGAAAGGAGATTTATAACTTAGGTTTCGTTTGGAACATTTTTTTTTATTGCTTCTTAAAGCAATTTTCTAGCATATAAATTTTAAATTTTTTACTAGAAAATTACTTTAAGAAGTAGTAAGAAAGTCATCTTAAACGAAACCTTAATGTCCTTAACTTTGGATCAATGACTGGTTTTCTTAATATAGATCTTTAAGTCCATCCAACTAAATATGAATATAAGATGACATGAATTTTAGCCCAAGATACAATCCTTTAGTTTAATGACTTTGTCCCTTAAAAAATTCTAACAAGAGAAAATATTTTACGGTCTACTTTGTTGAATTCTTTGCTCTTTTTGATAGTGCTATAGCAGATATTCATTTTTTTTAGTTCTCTCTTTAGTGACAATCTACAAGTTGCCAATGAGGCTAAGGCTTTATTTGGGATGACTTTTTTACTGCTTATTGAAGCAGTTTTTTAATACAAAAATTTTAATTTTTTAACTAAAAAACTGCTTCAAGAAGCAATATAAAAGCCGTCCCAAACGAAGCCAAGTTTGGTGGAAGCTTCATATTTCCAAAGAGCCATACTGTCAGTGGGAAGATGGCGACAAGCGTGGCTATGTGAAGTTTAAAAAAGAAAATATGGGTTTGAACAATGCAAATTTAAGCCAAACACATGCCTATGAAGTTTGAATGAATTGAACACGAACAAGATTTATATGAGTAACTTCAAATATGAGCTGAATTTGAACAACATAAAAATTGAACGCGCCAAATATAAATACACATCCAATTGCTTGAGTTCAACTTTTTTGTACCCCTATTTATTGTTATACTCAAATTTATAGACTAGAGCACTCCAACACTAAGCTTATCAAATTTTAGACGCATTCTAAAACCTTTGGGCTGATTTCTTAGAATGATTTGAGCACCTTATTATTATTATTATGTATTTGGCTTAGTCGAGCTTATTTTCATGAGAGATTGACTTAAGGGTGCTGCGGGCTAGAATATACGCGGCGGTAGAGTTTACAAATTCACGTTTGAGCGTTGTACAAATATTCAGCATACAAACAGAAAAGAAAATGAACATCAGGATTTTTACGTGGAAAACCCGAAAGAGGGAAAAAACCACGGGGCCACGCCCAGTTGAAAAGTTTCACTAGCGTTTTCTAAATTACAAGAAGCTGATTCGTCCCACAAGTCAGGACGATCAGATTACAATCCGCTTCTTCTAACTTGAAGCAAATTTACAAAATTCTCCAGAATTCAGGCGTCTCCCGAAAATTCGGCAGAGTTCCGGCATATTCAGGCGGCGGAAAGAACTTCGGTGGTGGTCGAGGAGGAGATGATTCTCCCTTTCCCCTTTTTCTCTTCTCTTCTTTTCTCTCTTCTCACTTGAGTCCTCTTGTGAAGAATGAGGGATCTATTTATAGTTTTTCTGGAGTGGCATGACTTGTAAATAAGTGTAAGATCAGGGGCGAATAGGGAGTGGTCGAATGGACGGTTGATGTTGAACCCTTCGATCGTGCACCGTTCATTGGACATTTGAAGGCCTTAGTGATGTCGGAATTCGGCGATCTTGTGCTCGTTGGATTCGTCTCGTCGAGCCGTTCGATTCAAGTATAAGCTCGTTAAAATCGAAGACCGTTTGGTAACTCAAATTGTGATTCGAACCTTCCAACAGCGCTTTGGATCCTTGATTCGGACCCATTTGTGCTCGGATTGGGTCGAATTTGATGTCATTGGGTTCGTATTTCCGAGACGCTTAGTTTGACTATAAGCTTGCTGAAATCGGAGTCAGATGCTCCTAAATATAATTTTTGAAGTTCCCGGGTTGGTTTTTGCCTCGAGATTCGTGCCCGATCAAGATTTTTTCATGATGATGCATCAAAGGGAATGTTTGGTAGCAAGATTTAGCCCGAATTTGAGGCGGGTTTCAACAAAATCCAACCAAACCGCCTAAAATGCAAAACCAAACTCACGACAAATGAAAATCGCTGTAGAGGGAAAATTCCACCTTTTCGTGCTAAATCCCGAATTTCCAAAATCCTGGATTTTGCCGGATTTATGAAATCAGTTGGCTCGAGAGGTAGAGTTCGCTTGTTAAATTTTGTTATATAGCCAAACAATCATACTTGATTTAATAGGATTTATCATGAATGTTACCAAACAATTTCGAAGATTTAGACCCCTCAGGATTTCCAAAATTTAGATATAACGGATTTATGAAATCCTAGTTAAATCAAATGGTGAGTGCTACCAAACAAGCCCTAAATTCTCCCTTACTCAAAGAATCATCTTGCATAGAGGTATCCAAAAAGTTATAATAGTTAGGCACTTGGACAAGCGGCACGATCCACTCGGCTAGCCCTGTAAGAAGTTTTGAAAGCAAACGCTTAGTGTGAGGAGGTCAGATCGTGCACGGCGGGAGCGTGTGGTTGATGGGCTGGCTGGGTAGGGAGATCGGTCGAGGGTAGGGAGATCGGTCGACTCACCTGAGAGAGGGGTCGGCTTGCGTGTAGGAGCTCGGCTAGGAAGTGAAAGGATCGGGTAGGGTTCGATCAGAGGAAGTCCGGCTCGGAGGTGCTCGAGTACGGTTTCGGGATCGGCAAAGTAGAGGCGGATCCGGCCGAGGTTTGTGGCAGCTGGGCTTGTGACATCGGGATGGGTCTTGGGCTGTGGATCATCGGTGAGGAGCGGGAAGGGAGGTGAGTTCGGAGGTTTATGTGTGAGGTAGAATGGAGATGGAGGTTGAGGTTTATGCGGGGAGAATCATCAAAGAAGCATGATAAAGAAGAGCTAAACAGCTCTATGAGATCAAAACAGCCAAGCTGTTCTAAAATCCAAAAATTTCATTCATATCATCTTCTTCATTACAAAAATATGCTTATATAAAGGCCATTGAACCTTGTAGAAGGTTCAAGAAAGCATAAACTAAAGCTAACTAAGATATACTATTTCTAAGGAAAACTATTAGCTAGGATGTACCACATCAGAGGTCGGTACAGGTCGTGTATGCTAGAGGTCGTGGCTTATGAGGAGGAGTTGGACGTAGGAAGCCGGAGATCGGACAGAGGCTTCGATCATGACCTCTAGTGTGCGGGAAAACAGAAACGATTGAGCCAAGACTTCGTTCTCGTTTTATTGACGCTAACAGGGGCAGACGATCACAGGATTTGCGCAGGAATCATGCGAGCTGAACGGTGTCGACGCCGAACTGCAGGTATGCGTGATTTGAGCGGATTTTCTGGGATTTTAGCTGGATTTCTTGAGGTGATGTAGAGGTCAACAGTCGTCAAGGTTGAAAGATTGGAAAAGAGATACAAAGAGCTTTCATGCATAACTATTGGTGCCAAAGTAGCGGCAGATCCTTCAGATGAAAGGAAGCTATTCTAACTGGACGATAATTAGGAGTGTTGTGAAAATCTAAGTATTCCTATGCTTTAAAGGTCCATTTTTTATGTTGAATTCATTAGTGCAAGGAAGTTCAATTTTTCTTAAGAAAATATAAACTTGTAGGAGATGATGACGGTTGTGGAGAAGGGATTCGATCAATGGAATCAAGGATGTCGGTGAAAGAGGAAGGATTTGATGGACTGGAGGAGGTGGACGATCAATGCACACACTATCAAGTTTTTTTGTCAATAGAATGTATGAAAGCATATAATTGTTGAAGTGATGAATCAATGGATGCAAATTGAACGTTGGCTTGTTTTAAAGATTTTTGGATTTCAAAGGATTATAGTTCTTGATTGATTTGCATTGTTCGGAGAGCTTCTGCAAATCTGCATTTTTCATGTTGAGAGGTCTTTCGTGGCCGCTGAAAGCGTATAAAAAATGTGATTATTGATAACAAGAACTGTGACCTGATATAAAGAGTAAATTGCGAGAATTCGACTGTTTTTGGAAGGATAATCAAGAGCTTATCTGCAGATTTCTGAAGCTGGGGCTGATGAAATTTGTGAAGCTATTCTTGATGTTGATTTCTAGACTGTTTCTTGCAGCTGAAAATAGAAATTGATGACAGATTCTTGAAGGCAGCAGATTTCTGGAGGTGAACAGAGAACCTAAATGCTTCAGATTTCTTGCTGATGTTCTTGAATGCAGCAGGTCAACAGGCTGAAATGAAGGCTGGCGCAGTGGAGACTATTGGTCTGCAGGATTAGGAGGTGGAGAATGGAGTTTCGATGGAGGAGAAGAGGTGGAAAGGTAAGTTCTTGAAGAGAATAAGTGGGCTGGTAGCTGAAGAGAATTGTTGGCAGCGATTGAGATTGCTGGCTGATAGGAGGAGAGAAATGAAAGTTTGCGATTGAGATTGCTGGCTGATAGGAGGAGAAAAATATAAAATGACATGTATGCCAATAAAAAAATTATAAAATAGAAGCAATTTCTGTAATATGTTCTACCAAATTTTGGAAGAGAAATGTTAAACAGTTTGAATGGAAAAATTTGATATTCACAGACTATTTATTGATCCAGAACAGTCTGAATTTCAGACTCTGTATAAAAAGTACTAACCCTTAATGAAAAGAGCACAGAACCTGACATGAATGCCCTCTACAAAATCCTAAACTGTTACATAAGCCTGGAATCCCACCTAAGCCAACCACCATCTTATCTTAGAGAATTCTAGTTCTGTTGTTCTCACAACAAATTTTCATCGAACATCAATATAAACTAATGTTTCGTTTGTGACAAATTTCTTATTGCTTCTTAAAGTAGCTTTCTAATGTAAAAATTAAAATTTTTTTAACTAAAAAACTGCTTTAAGAAGCAGTAAGAAAGCCGTCCCAAACGAAACCTAACAGAGAATGCACCAAAAAGTAACCTTGGGATCAATGGTGAAATCTAGCCAACTAGCTGCTCCATACTGGTTGTTGCCTCATCAAGTTCAACAGCCTTATATCCAGCCAAGATCATCTCTCCAATCAAATTATCTAGAAGCTTAAATATTAACTCAGACAATGGGTGAGAAATGTCTCCAACAATAAAAGCATGCATTTCACTGTTTACTTCAATCCAACTACAACCAGGTTCCTTTTTCATCAAGCTTCGCCTCATCATTTTTCTCATCCTTGAGACTTGGTCCCATCTCCCAACCTCTGCATATATGTTAGATAATAGAATACAAGCCGAAGAATCGTCAGGTTCCAGAAGCAGTATTTTCTCCAAAGCTAGCTCTGCTATCTCCACATTTCTGTGGATCTTGCAAGCACTTAAAAGAGCCCTCCATATAACTGCATCAGCTTCATATGGCATATAATTTATAACATCCAATGCTTCATGCACACCTCTGGAACGTCCCAAAAGGTTCACCATGCAAGAGTAGTGCTCCAGCTCAGGCTCTAAATTGTAGACCTGATTCATGGATTCGAAGTAGCAAAGGCCTTCGTCAACCAACCCGACATGCCCGCAAGCTCGAAGAACCGCTATGAAAGTAGCATGGTTGGGTGTAATATTTTCCATTTTCATCCTCTCAAACATGCTTAGTGCTTCAAACCCAAGTCCATGATTTGCATAACCATAGATTATAGCGTTCCATGAAACAAAGTCTCTTTCTGGCATTTTTTCAAACATCAGGAGAGCGTCTTGCATGTTTCCACATTTAGAGTACATGTCCACAAGAGTACTTGATATGAACACATCTTTGTGCAACTCCTGCTTGAGCAACTGAGAATGGATTTGTTTTCCCAAGCCCATCATGGCTAGGTTGGCACATGTGTCAAGAATTGTGGCATAGGTGAAATTATCAGGCTGGAGACCCAGTTCTAACATCTGACTAAAGAATTTCTGAGCTTCCTCACTTTTTTTCTGTAAGGAAAACCCTGAGATGATGGCATTCCATGACACCATGGTTTGGCTCTCTATCCTGTCATGGAGTGCTTGTGCTTCCTCCAACATTCCGCACTTGCAATACATGTCAATGAGAGCACTTCCAACAAAAGAATCAGAACCAAGCCACGATTTGATTATCCTGCCATGGATTAACCTTCCAAAATCCAGCGACTGTAATGCTGCGCAAGCTTTAACTACACTGCCATAGGTGAAAACATCAGGCTCTAAACTGCAAAGCAGCATTTGATTTAAATGTGAAAATGTCTCTTCATAAAGTCCATTCTGTTCAAGGGCTGTGATGATAACATTCCAGGAGACCGAATCTCTCTGTTCCATCTCTTCAAAGACATTACAACCATTAACCAGAGCTCTGCACTTTCCATACATGTCCAAAATAGCATTCTTCACACAAATATTCAAGCTATGGCTGGTTTTGATAGCCAAGCAATGAACTTGCATGCCTTGCAAGTATGCTTTAGCTTCCGCACAAGCACTGAGCACAGCAGACAAGCTGATTTCATCCGCAAGAATACATGAAATATTCATGAACTTAAACAATTTCAGAGCTTCAATTCCTCGGTCATTCCTGCCAAATCCAACAATCATGGCGTTACAAGTCTGCCGGCTACGGTTAGGAAGCTCCCAAAACATTCTCATGGCATCACTCAAACTATCGCATTTAGCATACATATCAAGAGTAGCAGTCCCAACAACCACATCCGAAATGAAATTATTTTTCATTGCATGGCCATGAAGCTGTTTTCCAACTTCTAAACAAGGCAACCCTGCACAAGATCGAAAGAGGCTTGCATAGGATGATTGGCTCACTCCTATTCCTTCTCTTTGCATCTCAAGAAATAGATCAAACCCATCCATGAATTGCTCATTCTGAGCACAACCCCCAATTATGGCGCTCCAAGTGACCCAATTCCTTTGTGGCATTTCACGGAAGAAGCAAAGGGAATCACCCAAACTTCCACACTTAGCATACATGTCAACAAGAGCACTTCCTGTAACCACATCCAAAGCTAAAGCCATTTTAAGCGCGAGCCCATGAATTTGAATACCCATCTCATATGCTTTCCAAGAAGAGATCAACTTAAGAAAAATTGAAAAGGTTATGCGATCTGGTTCCACGCCAATTTTCATCATCTCCAAGAAAAGTTCAACAGACTCATTCAAGTTTCCATTTTGCATGTACCCTGAAATCATGGAGTTCCATGAGATAACATCACAGTCAGGCATAGCTTTAAACAGACACTGCGCCTCGCGCATCAAACCAGTCTGCACGTAACCAGATATTATAGCATTCCATGAGACGACATCCCTGTCGGGCATTTCGTCGAACACTTTGCAGGCGGAGTCCAAATCTATGCACCGAATGTACATTTGAATTAGGCAGTTTGATACGAAGGTGGTCGGAATGAATCCAGATGTAATCATTTGAGAATGAGTTTGGCGCCCGGTGCTCAGTTTCCGAAGCTCCGAGCACTCCTGGAAGAGACGGGAAAAGGACAGTTTAGCTGAAGGTGAAGCGCAAGATTGACAATTGGATAATGAAGAGTAGGAGAGTAGTTTAGGTAGAGATGCTGAAAGGTTAATGAGAGCCGGTCGGACCATTGGGAAGAAAAGCTGGCCTACTCCGATGAAGAACCATGATGTCGCAGATTTGCTAGATTGGTAGTAAGAGAGAGCTACAAATTAACATTCCAGAGGGCGGCTTCTCCTCCAAAGCAGTGCTGGAACTTAGATAACTCAACAATAACTAAATACTGAGCTGCCTACATAACTTCTAACGGTAAATTCAATTAGTTCTAAACAAAATTATAAAGAGTAATTGAAAAATACCTCCAGAGAAATACTACTCAATCAGAAATATGTGATTTGAAATTCTGCAGTTATTCACTAATAAACAAAGATCACACCAGCACTTAAAAGCAATCAACGTGCTTGCAAGATCAACAAAAACTAGAAAGGTAATGCCATTTCAGCATAGTTCAATACACCTACAAGATCAAGGAATTAATATAAAAGAAAAATAGAATAGGATAAAAAAAGCTCATAACCCATTCAATTAATGGTGGAGCACAAAATAAATTGTGGGCTCCAAAAAATTCCATTTTAGGAGTGATCCCGAGGGAATTTTCAGAAGGCAGATTGGGTTTTAGATAAGACACTACCCAGAGATTTCGCCCTCATTTAGTGAGGACTTTTTGATCCGAGCTCTGGTTTCCTATAGGCGCAAGCCCCTATAGTTAATTACCCCTCCCGATAATAGGAGAGAACTTTCGATTAAGGCTAGTTATTAAAGTAGTTATATATGTTAAAAAACCTATCATATAATAGCAACAATTTTAGGGTTTAAATTTTGAATTTGGAAGTTTGAAATTTGGAATTTATCACCATAAACTTAAAACTGGTGGTGGGGGGAATGAAGACGAGCCCGATCAAGATCCCATGGTTCCGTCGTCCCGGGCTGTCATGATCCCTGGTCTACTTAGTCAGAGGAGGTAGTCGACCCAACCTGACAGAAGGCATCTTGTTGGCAGCCATGGGTTGCTTCGTCCAAGAATACCTTGTAGACCTGGATTGATATTTGTCTAAGGGGATAAATATGAATCCACCTTAGCTGACAAAGGGCTTTATGCCTATCGAATATACCCTATGATCCATCGCTCAAGGGTTTGACGCCTTTAGGGAACATACGGGCTTTGGCCGTGATCGTAATATAATGGTGCCATTTCGCGGCAAAACCACCCGACCAGAGAGCACGTGCCACGTCCCTGTTGGCAAGAGACTGTTTGAGGATGAATCGTAGTGATTCACTCCGACATGCATTCGCTCTTTGTGAGCTGAGGTTAATTTCAATTATCATCCCCGACAAACGGTTGCGGGAGGTGGATGATGTTTAGTTTTGAGTTTTTTAGATGATATTTTTATATTCAAGAATTTGGCATTTTGTTTGATTAGAGATTTGACATTTGAGATTTGAAATTTAACATTTGAGTTTGAAATTTGACTCTCCGGTTAAGATTCATTTCAACACGGCCATCATCGGGGTGATTTTAAAATCATTTTGTATTTTCGTAGGATTTTGGGAGATATTTTGCAATTCAAGTCGTGTCGACTCAGTCCTCTCAAGGAGGAGATGAAACTTGAATATTTAACCGCGCAGCATTCTCGGATCGTTGGATTTGAGATTTATATGCGACGATCGGAGCACATGCGGTTGTGGCATTATTCCCTGCGCAGCATTCTCGACTATTTATGTTTGTAACTTTAATAGTTCTATCGGAGCACATGCAGAGCAATTTAGTTTAAGGGTCAATATTTAATACATAAGGGGCATTTTAAAATATTAAATATGATCCATTATATAAGAGTGATTTATTTAGAAATGCCCAAAATTTCATTTAGGGCCTACGAACACCTTCTGTCCGCTTGCACACATGTTGCGGGATCCGGTGGATTTAAAAATTAAGGCTTGAGTTGTGATATGTAAATGATGTGTGCTGTTCAATTTATTCAAGCTTATCGTATTCTCTACTATAGCTTGTAAGGGGTTTTTTATGCAATAGACATTTAGAAGATTGTGTTCTTGCTTACAAATCAACTGCATTGCTTGCTACGAATCTTCTATTATCTCATATAAATCAAATAAGCATACTATAAATTCATTGCTTCTTCTCCTTATGCATTTTTGATGTGCCTTCTGATGAAATGATGGGTAGTTATCATATAATGGTGCTTAAAAGAAGTCTAATAAGACATTTATTAAGATCTTAATAACATAGGAGTGGTCTAGTGTATTTGAGTTAAAAGAGATATTTCATAGCATTGATATAACTCTTTGAATATACTTCCCTGAAATAATTGAGTGAAGAATTTCATGTAGATTTAATGGACAATAGAATGACTCATGTAGTATTTCACATATTCTTTGACCCATCTCTATATGTAGATCCATATAGTTAGATGTGAATGTGAGTTTTGGAGAACTAGTTCTTTGACTTGATTATTTCAAGTTCAAATTTTCAATCGAACAAACTTCATTAAGAAGAAGATTGAGGTGGCAATGACAGAGTATTACACTTCTCAAATAGTTCTCTCTTACATTTTCATCTTGCAATATGAGTATACCCTTTACTCATAGTTTCAAGTTTCATTTAAATATCACCTTCAAATTCTTCATTCGATCGCATAAAGAGGCTCTCAAATCTTTTAGGAAAATTCTTCTATCAAGTCAAATTGTCAGCATAACAAGACAGTTTTTTTCATTTTTTTTTATCAATATGTATTGTAGTTGGAGTCAAAGTCCAATGCCCATTATCACTCATCGATATGAAGTTAAAATGCTCACAATCTTTCTAGAATTGTTTGTGTAATTAATATCATTTATGATTTAATAAGGACTCAAATAATCTTACCATTTCTTTGAGTACAAAAACATTAAAAATTTCTATTTGAATGTCTCACCATATCCAAGTCAAATCAAATCAAATTAGATTTGAGTTCATTTCGAGTGTAGGTAAATATTTGATCAAATTTTAATTAAAATTGATTTTAAATTTGAATTATGTTCAAATAAATTTTAGATTTTTAGTCCAAGTCATTTTGTTGTTCATTAAAATTTCGGCAGCTTTCGGCGTCACCTCCCCACCGAGGGAGAAATCGGCGGCATTTGCCGAAATTTCTTCCACCCGGACCTAAGGTCGCGGCTTTAGGTCTTATTTTAAACCATCACACCAGGATCTAAGATCGACTCGTGAGGTCTTCAATTTGGAACATCCCGACCGGGATCTAAGATACGACGGCTCGGGGTCTTCAAATTTTAAAACCATCTGCTCGGATAAAAATCAACGGCGCAGGTTCTTCAATTTCAAACCATCCCGATCGACCTAAGGTACGACGTCTGGGTCTTCACATCTGTTTCAAAATGATTTCTCCACTATTCTCTCTTTATTTTTTTTTTATTTTTTAATTAATATATTTTATATCTAAATATTAAAATAATATTCATAAGAAAATATGATATTTATATATATATATATATATATTATAATTAGAAAGGGAGAAGATGGGCTTTGCCCGATCGGAGACAGGGAGCGGACGGACGAGTCGGGAGCGCGTCGGAGTTCGGTTCAACCGGCGGCGTCTGGACGACGATACGGTCGTTGGTGTGATCGGAGTCGTCGGAGTAGGAGATGGCCGACGACGGTAAGATTGGAGGCTGGCTAGGGCACGGGTCAACCTCGCTATGCAGAGGAGTCGGTTGGGTTCGTGGTTCGGTCGACGAGTGCAGAAAGGAAGTCACCGGTGCTCGGAGGTGGAGGCGACGACGCAGGAGTTTTGGCGAACTAGAGCAAGATCGGAATTTCTTGTCTCTGTTGTAAGTTTTTGAAATCCCCTTCCTTCATTTTTGTTTTTTTTTTATCACCGTTTGAATGAGAGGGATTTATATCGTCCGAGAGAACAGTTACGCCATTATGGGCGGTTTTGGGCATAGTCGCGCATAGAGCGGTTGTGTCATTTGGGTTTATCGGTGGGGAGTCGTCACACGTCAACATAAATATTTATAAAAAACGCTACGGTAAGGATAGAAATCATCTAAGGATTTCAGCTTTTGGCAACCTTCTCACTGCTTCGTATTTTAGGTCTCAATCATATTTTTATTTGACTACTATTTTTTTTAGTTTTAAAAAAATTTTGATTAACTAGCTAGGAAATTGTTTCTACAATAGTTTTAAAAAGTACTTTCTCTACCGTAGTTTTACATAACAGTAAAAAATTGTATTAAATGAAACCTTATTGCGCTCTGCCGGAACCACCACTGAGGCTCAGACTTCTGTCAGACCCACTGACGCCCATACTTCTACCGGACACCACCTGAGACCTGGACTCTCCCGAACTACACACTGAGGCCCGAACTTCTACCAGACCACCATCTGAAGGTTCGAACTTCTACCGGACCAACACCATAAGGTTCGGACTTCTGTCGGACCACCACCTGAGGCCTGGACTTTAACGGACAACCACCTGAAATGGCCCTGAGCTCCACGGCTGCCACCAACCATCACCTGAAGGGACTCGCGGCTCTGCTGGACCACCACCTGAGACCTAACTTCATCGGACCACCACATAGGTTCTTATTCCGCCGGACCACTGAGTCAGACTTTTAGTCATGGCAACCACACATAAGGCCAATTATTATGTCAGACCACCACCTGATAGAGCCTTTGCTCGCCGGGACCACACCACCTGAAGGCCACGAAACTTTTGGCTGTACGACCATTTGATGCCCATCTTCTGGCCGAACCACCACTTAAGGCCCAAACATGCGTCGAGCTCCTACCTGTAGCCCCCAACTCCTAACATAGACCACCCAACTGAGGCCTAGGGACTTCTACTGGACCACCACCTGACCCCCGACTTCTACCGGAAGCCCATCCACCTAGAACACACCGACATCATGACCAAGCACCACCATCTGAGCGCCCAGATCTTTGTCAGGCTATTACCTAATGCCATAGTTCTTACCAAAGTATGTCCTTACAATGTATCTTTTCTAACTCCTAAGCTACTGTCACATCTACGATCTTTGGACCCATATCTTCTACCAATAACTATGTCATTTTTCCTAATTACCTTCTGATTCTGTCTACTATTTTTCACTCTCTTTTCGATTTACTTATTACATCACTAGACAATGATCTTTCTGACCTTGATCTCTGCATATTTACGATCATCCTCATGGTAGTCACGTACATCGTGCGACAATGATCTTTCTGGCCCCCCGAGCTCCTACCATACTACATGTCTTTCCACTCTTTTATCCTTATCAACTATGTCCACGCTGAACCCACAACAAATTAGTCCTTATCCTGTTATTGTAACCGCTCCCATCATGTAATGCGCTCTACAGTATGCAATGTACATTTGTGTACATCAAGCCAATGTCCTTCCATTCTAAAGAAAGAATCTCCATTTGTAATTGTACATGCACCATATCTAGTGGATTATCAGTTCAAACTGGGTCATGCCCACATGATTTCTCCCCTTTTTCAGGAGTTCCATGTATAAAACTCTAAGTGCTCCTTATGAATGTTTACAACCGCCTCTCTTCTTATCAGATTGCGTGCAGATCTTCATACAAAAAGTCTAAGACCGTTAAACTATGAAACCCTTTCTATTTACGTATAGCACAAAGCCGTGAATATTCCAGAGACTCCATTTGAAGGGGGAGAAGAAAGGGTTTGTCGCCTTGTAGAGCCTAGGGGAAGCCTCAGAATGAAGAAAGAAGAAGCTAAGGGGGGAAATCTCACTTCTTTAGAGACGGGGTCCGGCCGGATTAAGGTATGCCGCTTGTGCAAGAGTTTTCATATCCCTTGGGGGCAACGGCGAATTTACGGGGGGGGGGGGGGGGGGAGGCGGGCCCTCTGCGGGGCACAATCCCCCCCCCCCCCTCAACACCCGAAAAAAATAAAAAGCATAAACCTAGAATTTTGCCTCCCGCCTCTTGCCCCAAGATACTTCCTTTCCCTAAAAAAAGCTCGCATCTGGGCTAAGGCGGCGCAGTCAGAAGAAACGTGTGCGACGACGAGCTGACTCTTCATAGCTTTAGAAGGATATCTTAAAATTTTTCTTAACTATTTTGTTTGTTTAACAACCTTACGTGCTCATGCCCGGAAGCACTCTTCACTAGCTTTCCCTTTCTTTTTTTAAAAAAATTTGTCCCTGTGGCAGTTCCATGGAAAAATCCCTGGTATTGTTCGCCTTAAGACGATATATATATATATATATATATATATATATATATATATTGAAAATAATACATTTAATAATATTGATAATTAAATAACTATACAATAATTTTAAAATATAAAGTTTTGAAGGAAAAATATTTTCTAAATTATAAATTTTTATCAATATATATTTTTAATTTTTTTATATTAATAATTAAGAAAAAACAATACCAATACCTCAAATGTAAAATGATTAGGATAAATTTAAATCATCAATTTGTATTCCTACTAAAAATATTTCTTGCTCAACTGTTAACTCCTGATTCTTCATGATTTTTTTTTAAAACATTAGATGATTATTCCTAAAAATGTTAAAAAACTTCTTATTTAACCTTGCACGACTATCATTTATTTGCCTTCTAAAAAATAAGTTTGATAGATTTCTTTTAGAATATATAAAAAGAAATAACTCATAAATAAACACAAAAAATGTTATATGAAAAAATTTATATCATACACATCAATCTACCTGAACAGTAGGCGGTGTCAATATTTGACACGATCCGAAAACTCTACTTGAATCCGACACAAAAATTTCGGGTTAGGATCAACCCGCTTTGCAGAAGGGTCGGGCTTGGGTTCCCCGATTCAACCCATTTGAAAATATGGATCGGGTTCAGATCGATCCGGAAACCCCGAACTCAACTCGGAATTACCCGTTTGGACGTGTAGTCTCGTTGCATCGCGTGAGTCACATCGTGTCGTGAGTATCTTCTCGTGAGTTATGCATGTCTTGCCGACGACACTGTCACGGTTGTACCCCTTCGCAGGAGAAATTATTGTGTACGCAGTCCAACGTAGAGAAAGGTCCGGATTGCTGGGTATTTACTATGTATTTGCTGCATATTTTTTGATACACAGCAAATAAACGACAAAATAAGCAGCAAATTAATAATACTCATTAAATGCTCATGCATTAAATACACAATAAAAACACAAAAAATACTCACTAAATATGTAGAAAATACTCACAACTAATGATTGACTTAATATTGTGTACGTATTTTTGCATTTTATTGTCTATTTAGTGAGTATTTAGTTAATATTATTTATTTGTTGCTTATTTATCGCTTATTTGATATGCATAAAAAAATACGCAGTAAATACATAGTAAATATGATTTCTCCTACTCCAAACTAGAAAAAGAAATAAATAGTTTTCTCTCAATCCCCCCTCTCCCTCTCTCCCTCTCTCCCTCTACATTCAAGTAGAGCTGTCCTCAAGAAAAATCCCAACAGGTCCTAAACAAAACCTTAATGATTGAGTTCAACAACAACAAACACAAATTGTAAAATAGAACTCCAGCTACATGACAGACAAAAACATCAGAAAAATATAATAATACATTACAAATACCACCGACTAACCAACGAGAAATTATTACGTGCGAAATTCGAACGTATCTTATCTAGACTTCAATGTATACAAGCCATATAACGTGTACACAAATATATATAACTTATATATATAGTGTGTTTTACGGCGAATTATTGCGTCCGGTCACCGAATATCCGGACATCCAATCCGGTGACGCCACGTCACCCTAATATACTGAATCCCAGTATATTTTGGTGACGTGGCGACGCCGGATTGATGTCTGGACGAATCCAGACACGGGACCCAATAATTGTCAGTGTTTTACACACTCTATATATACTTATACACATTGAAGTCTAATGCATTGGCGCACTTAATAATTTCTCCGGACCAAGACACCGGTGGCTTTATTATCAAAGATAGCAACTTTGGCCTTAAGCGATCTTCGTCTTAGCCTTGTTGACCGAAGTGAAAGTCACCTGAGCACCAAGCAAGAATTTCCCCACAACAGCCGTAAACGAATCGTAGCGCAGAAACAGCTCCGCCACAAACAGTCGGGCCACAAGCACCACAAAGTCCTTCCCCGCGCACTGCTTGTTCCCAACGGTCGGATCCTCCGTCTCCGGTCCATTCGACCACCACACGTACTTCAGAAGCCTTCCATTGTCTCCGACGAATCGGTCGGGAACGAACTCGCGCGCGTCGGAACCAAACACGCGCGAATCAGTGGTAGCAAAAGGCTGGTAACCGAAGATCATCTCGCCCTTCCGCACCTGAAATGCGGCGTCGTGGCTCTCCAGAATGAAATCCTTCTTTGCATGACCGTATTGGAATTGAACGGGCGGGTCTATGCGAAGCGCCTCGTAAACAACGGATCTGATGAGGTCCATCTTCTCAAGCGCGGTTATGGTGAGCTGCCCATTCTCGCCGCCGACGGCGGAGCGGGCCTCAGCGGCAATGCGGGCGTGGAGATCGGTGTTCGAGGAGGAGAAAGCTAACCACTTGAGGATGGTGGGGAGGAGCACCTTGAAGCCGCCGTAAGCGTTGAAGATTGTAGCGTAGAGAAGGTTGTGGATAGCCTCCTCTCGAGAGAGACCTGCTTGAGTTGCTAAATTGTCGACGGCGCCACCGCCGACGGATCGGAAGTATGAGTAGAGGGCGTTGTAGTCGGACTTGACGAGGAATGGGGGGTAGGGAAAAGTGTGGAGGAGAAGGTCTTCCAAGAAGCAGAAAGGGATGAGTTTGCTTATCAGGGGAGCTAGCTGCAGGAAAAGCCACTTGGTTGCGTTGCTTTGTAAATCAAGGCCGGTTTTTGAGGGGCTGGAGCCGAAATAGGCGTCGCCGAGAAACTCCAAGGCGAACTTGTCGTTGAGCTTGTTGAAGTCAGATTGACCATTGGAGGTGATTTGGGACTCGAGTTTGGCGAAGAGAGGGGCAACGAAGGAGGTGCGAAAGGCAGGGATGATTTGATCCTTACGGGAGCTTAAAAGATTTAAAAGAAATTGTTTGATTTTGGCATGGTTGGGTTCGGAGGGATCAAGGTTGGCGCAGATACGGTAGTTTCCGGTGAGCTTGGTGGAGGGTAGATATGTGCCGTATAAAACGTCTTTTTTCTCTATTCTGGAAGAGTCGAATAGAACAGGGAAGCTTTTGGCGTCGAGTACTGCTATGACGCGGGGATTGGACGCCATGAACGGACCTGGTGGCATGTTGGTGCGGAAAACTGTTGATCCGTACCTTTCGATCCGGGTTTTGAAGAAGTTGTCCTGACCTTTGAAGTAGAAGTATTCCAGGCGATCCATGATGGGGGAGATGAAGGGGATCCCATAGCTCCCTGGTATTTCCTTTATCTCTAGGCCATTGCAGGCAGCCGAGTGAGCATTGTCGCGATCAATATTTTCTTCAGCTGCTGCTGCTGCTGCTGCTGCTGCTTTCTTCGTCACGGAACTCATGATCAATTCTTCAATTCACGAACAAGATGATAGGCTTTCTTCTCCTACAGCGCTACTAAGACTACAAAGATCTATCCTTGAATTGAATATTCAAATATACTGCGTGCTCTTCACAGGGGAAAACCAATGTGACATGCGTGCATATTAAAGAAATTATTGCGGTGGATTAAAATAAAAATAAAAATGAGTACATCACATCCTAATGAAAAATTATTACATGTGGGTCCTGATTCGTCTAGAAATTAATAAAAATATGTCATGTCGCCTCCTAAAAATATATCATGCTTGGTACAGAGTCCTTCGTACCACTCGGTAACGAGCACGGAACCAGACAGTTCTCCCGTCTGGTGTCAGCACAAAATAATCTCCCCACCCTAAGGGCCTATTTGGTAGCAAGTTTTATGCAAATGAAAGTCGTTGTAGATGGGAAATTTTAGACTTTTCATGCTAAATTCAGGATTTTTGAAATCAAATTCATTGTCCGAAGAGTTCACTGGTTAACTCCGCTCTATAGCCATATAGTCAAATGGAGTTTAATAGGATTTATCATGACTATTATGAAAAAAATTTCAATATTTAGGCCCCTTGAATTTTTAAAATCCCGATTTAGTGGATTTATAAAATTCTATTTAAATCAAATATTGAGGGCTACCAAATAATTATCAATTAAGTAGCCGATATATAATGTTTGTATACATTTGTATCTAAATATCTATTTTTAAAAAAAAATCAAGCCGCCACTTCCTTGATAAGGCTAAAGGGGGCTAAATTAATTTACTTTTTAACTTATCTATAATTTAATATATTTATGTACTATCGATATAAATGCATGCAGACTTATCTCATATGTGAGATTAATATTATTTTAAATTATTTCATATCTAGCACTAGGGGTGTAAACAAGTAGAGTTGAGTCTAGTTTAGGTCCTCATATGACTCGGCTCATTAGATGGAAAGCGCTCGTGCTCGACAGTCGAGCTCGAACTAGAGCTCGTCTCACTGTAAACGAGTTCGAGCAATTGTTTTAAATTTTGTTGTTAGTAGGCGTTGTAAAAGGTATAATAATGATTTTCAAAATTATTGGGATAACATATATGTACCTAAAATTATATGGGTTAAATTCAAGTAAACGGTGGACCCTACTTAGAGGTGTAAATGAGTCAAATTGGTTCATGATTTGATTAGAATTGGATTTACTGTGAGCTTGCAAGTCGAGCTAATCGAACTATGAGCTCGAGCTCGTATATTAAATGAGCTTGAATTGAAGCTTGACAAAACTTGGATCGTTAGTTTACGAGACCGCACGTAAAAATTAATTTAATATAATTTAAAGATTAAGATCTAATAAAAAAATAATTAAAAATATATCTGCAAAAGGAAATTAAAAAAAATAAGGAATTTTTACATATATATAGCACTTAAAAGTTTCTTATTTACTCATCTAACACCCAAATTTATCTATTTACACACATGCCACCTAAAACTTATTTGACTTTCTAAAATACTATCCCTTCTTCAAATCCGCCTGATGCCGCACAAATCGTCCACCTGCTCCCTCTCTTTGCCTCTTGCATGCTCCCTGCTCCCTCTTTTCAAAAAGAATACTAGACGGATGCTTAGATGGATCAACCGGCTGGCTCTCCTCCAAGCCTTGATCGGCCATTACCCCTCTCTACAAACCTCTTTGTATAAACATGTTCCCTAGCCAAATAAGACAGCTGACTTAGTAAAGCCTGGCACATGCTCAAATTCTAAATCACTCGCATACCTGCTTTGCTATCTTTAATCTAAATCTGATCAGAATTCTTACCAGACCAAATAATGCTTTAGCTCTTAGTAAGAGATCAAGAAAGAACACTCCATGATAGCAGAAAACAGCTCGATTTTATAGGGGAAAACAGGGTCAGCCAAATAGATGATCCGGATTTCCCTGGTTCGAGGCACGATGCGATAACGAGAAGCAAGAAAACGTCTGATCTGAGCGGGAAAAGGAGTAGCGAGCCGAACCCCATTTCCGAGAGCCAAAGAGATGGAGCACGCGGACGGTTTTCATGAACAGAAAGATGAGTTTCACGCAGTATTGGGCAGGTTTTAACGGAGAAAAAGAGGGGATAGTATTTTAGAAAGTAAAACAAGTTTTAGGTGGTATGTGTGTAAAAAGTTAAGTTTAGGTGTTAGAAGAGTAAATAAGAAACTTTTAAGTCTTATGTATGTAAAAATTCCAAAAATTAAATGAACTACATTCTCCGCGAAAAGTAGAACCGCCCAATTCGAGCGATAAAGGAATTCACAAGCGCTGCAAGAGAAAGAAGTTCGTTCCACGCCTACGTTTATTCCTCCATTGTTGTGGGAACCATCGTTTCTTCTCCATTTGCATAGAACCCATCGTTGTTTCTTCGTGTGAGGTAGAGTTTTGCTAGAGTCGCTTCATCAGATCGTTGATGTTCAACTTCGCCCCTTCAACGACGCTTCCTTACTATTGGATTGGAAGTCACGGAAGCAACTACCGAGCTCACTCTCTGTGAAGGTAATTGTCTTTCTCACTTTTGTGTGCTTTTTGGCCAAATCCTGTCAATCCGCAAAATTTATGGAATGGATTTATGGCCCAAAGTGGAGATAAAGGATTTATTCCGATGTTAGGTTTAGCAAGTGCTTGAAAACTCGTGAAGTATTTCTAGTCCTCAAAAGCTAAATTGACACTTTATTTATTTGCATATTTAAAGAAGTATTTTGAATTGTGATTCTTTTTCTTCCAGCCACAACCTGCTCTAGAAAGAGGGAACAACATTAATCACTAGAATAATATTTTATTTTAAATATTCATTAATATGTCGATGCTAACATGAGAAGTTTTAATGCTTCAAAGATATTATTTATCAAGATGCTACTAAAAAATCAAAAGAGAAATTTGATATTGAGATCACAGATGAGTAATGCAAAAATTATATTGGATATCAGAGAAGTGATTGAAATCACATTAAAGAATTAAGAAAGAAGTTTGGAGTGTCATGAGATGATAGTACGAAAGCTATCTTGATGAGTTAAGAGAAGTTTCTATCACAATCTAGGTAATACTTAAAATTTAGATGATTTCTTACATATATAAAGATACAATCTTGCTCTTATGCTTACTAATCTGAAGATTTATAGACTTTTCCCAAGGATGCTGTCACACTCTATAATATATATTGGAAAGAAAAAAAAAAAATTTTATAGGAAAGAAAAAAAAAATTTTATAGAGAACTTTTTTTTCGCCATTCCTAAAAAATGACTTTTCCCCCCCTAAAAAACTCTTTGTCCTAACTTGTCCTAAAATGTCTATATATTTCTTCAAATTTAATTCTAATATTTTATTTTGTATTTTTCATGACAATTTAATAACACTTTTTTTCTTACTTAATTTTTTTAAATAACTTATGTATTGTACTTGCCCCCCCTCAAAATTGAAGCTGGTTCCGCCCCTGATTCCATTTTTGTCTTGTTCGGAGTTACATATCATATGATCTTTATTCTTTCCTAAAAATATGTAAAGCCACGTAATGAACATATAGTTCAACAAGTAACTAAAATCTTACAACTGAAATTAACGTAAGATAAAATGAAATAATATGCGATAAATCATACATAAATATATGCATCAATATTTATACTGATTATCTGCTCCAATTTATCCTTCTATAGTTCATCACATTTCAATCAATTACATCATCAGTCATAGTAGTAGTAACAATCAATACATTATAGAAAAATCTCCAATTACCGAAGAATTTTTTTGGTGAATTTCAATGAATTTCCAACAGATTCGATGAAATATTTCCAAAAGATTTTCCAGCAATTTTTTTTAGTGAATTTGATTTTCGGCGCTTTTTCCTGAAGATTTTTGAAAAAGTATTTTTGGCGACTCTAGCATATTTTAATATTTTAATATTTTATTATTTTTTTAAATTTATAGTTTATTTTGATTAATTAGTAATTAAATATTTTATAATAATTAATTAATAATTAAATAATTTATTTTAATTAATTGTTAATTTAATATCTTATTTTAATTAATTATTAATTTTTTTTAATTCATTTTACATTTTTAAATTTTGTATTATTTATTTAAAAATAAAAGAGTGATTTATGTAACACATTTTCCTCTACAACAAAGTTGTTAGATATTTGAAATATTTTCAGGTTCTGTCTTCACTGCTTAGGTAGAGGGTAGCGGCTGCGGGCAGGGCTAGCGAGCTGTTGTTTTTTTTTTTTTAATTATTTCGCAGGCTTTTTCTTGCTAGACAACTGCCATAACATTTTTGGCAGAATAATTTTTCTTGAAAATTTTTATGGCGCTTTTTTTATGATGGAATATTTTTTAGACACATATTTTACAGGCAAAATATTTTTTGCCAAAAAATTTGCCAGTAATAAATGATACTTATGTAGTGATAGTATTAATCAATACATTAAATAATGTATAATAACAGTAAATCATATTAATGTCGGTCCCAATATCAGTTCAATATATATATATATATATTTCAGCACTTTATTTAATATATAATAAAATTATATCAAATCTTTTAGAATGATCAAATTTATAATATATTTAAACTTGCATATGGTGAAAGCTTATGAAATCAGAAATAATATTTTTTTGGAAAATTTAGGAGAGATAAAATTCATAGAAATCAAAATTAGTAAAAATAAAAGTAAGAGATTAGTTACTTACAAATAATAAAACAAAATTTTCAGCTAGAATGACTGATAAAAATAATCAAAAGATATTTCTTTATAATATCTCTTCTTCCACTCTTTCAATTTCTTCCTAGCCAAACAATCATGTGAGGGTGTCAGTGGAGCAAGGTAGGGATATGTATATATATTGTTCATGGCCTAACGTTGCAGGACTTACTTCATTAAATTTGGGTTAGATTGAGTGTAAGGTTAGTTTGGTCAAACCATGATTGACTTGATCAACCAAGTTTAACCAAGGGTTGGGGTTAGGTCCAACAAGTTCAAAATAATATTTTGGACCCATTAGAGGTGGTCCGATGA